TTCCTTAGTCCAATATATTGGTCTAAATCTCGGTCCATATTCCTTTGTCCAAAATCTCGGTCCATATTCCTTAATCCAATATCTTGGCCTAAATTTCGGTCCATATTCCTAAGTCCAGTATCTCGGTCCACATTCCTTAGTCCAGTATCTCGGTCCATATTCCTTAGTCCAATGTCTTGGTCTAAATATCGGTCCATATTCCTTAGTCCAATATCTTGGCCTTAATCTCGATCCATATTCCTCAGTCTAATGTCTTGGTCTAAATCTCGGTCCATATTCCTTAGTCCAATGTCTTGGTCTAAATCTCGGTCCATATTCCTTAGTCCAATATCTCGGTCCACATTCCTTAGTCCAATATATTGGTCTAAATCTCGGTCCATATTCCTTTGTCCAAAATCTCGGTCCATATTCCTTAGTCCAATATCTTGGCCTTAATCTCTGTCCATATTCCTTAGTCCAATATCTTGGCCTAAATCTCGGTCCATATTCCTTAGTCCAATATGTTGGCCTAAATCTCTGTCCATATTCCTTAGTCCAATATCTTGGCCTAAATCTCGGTCCATATTCCTTGGTCCAAAATATCTGTCCATATTCCTTAGTCCAATATCTTGGTCTAAATCTCGATCCATATTCCTTATTTCAGTATCTCGGTCCATATTCCTTAGTCCAATGTCTTGGCCTAAATCTCGGTCCATATTCCTTAGTCCAATGTCTTGGACTAAATCTCGGTCCATATTCCTTAGTCCAGTATCTCATCCATATACCTTAGTCCAATATCTTGGCCTAAATTTCGGTCCATATTCCTTAGTTCAGTATCTCGGTCCATATTCCTTAGTCCAATATTTCGGTCCATATTCCTTAGTCCAATGTCTTGGTCTAAATCTCGGTCCATATTCCTTAGTCCAATATCTTGGCCTTAATCTCTGTCCATATTCCTTAGTCCAATATCTTGGCCTTAATCTCTGTCCATATTCCTTAGTCCAAAATATCTGTCCATATTCCTTAGTCCAATATCTTGGTCTAAATCTCGATCCATATTCCTTATTTCAGTATCTCGGTCCATATTCCTTAGTCCAATGTCTTGGCCTAAATCTCGGTCCATATTCCTTAGTCCAATGTCTTGGACTAAATCTCGGTCCATATTCCTTAGTCCAGTATCTCATCCATATACCTTAGTCCATTATCTTTGCCTAAATCTCGGTCCATATTCCTTAGTCCAGAAGCTCGGTCCATATTCCATAGTCCAGTATCTTTGCCTAAATTTCGGTCCATATTCCTAAGTCCAGTATCTCATCCATATACCTTAGTCCAATATCTTGGCCTAAATTTCTGTCCATATTCCTTAGTCCAATATCTTGGCCTAAATCTCTGTCCATATTCCTTGGTCCAATATCTTGGCCTAAATTTCGGTCCATAATCCTAAGTCCAGTATCTAGGTCCACATTCCTAAGTCCAGTATCTCGGTCCACATTCCTTAGTCCAGTATCTCGGTCCACATTCCTTAGTCCAGTATCTCGGTCCATATTCCTTAGTCCAATGTCTTGGTCTAAATCTCGGTCCATATTCCTTAGTCCAAAATCTCGGTCCATATTCCTTAGTACAATAGCTTGGTCTAAATCTCTGTCCATATTCCTTAGTCTAATATCTTGGCCTAAATCTCGGTCCATATTCCTTAGTCCAGTATCTCGGTCCACATTCCTTAGCCCAATATATTGGTCTAAATCTCGGTCCATATTCCTTTGTCCAAAATCTCGGTCCATATTCCTTAGTCCAATATCTTGGCCTAAATCTCGGCCCATATTCCTTAGTCCAGTATCTCGGTCCACATTCCTTAGTCCAATATCTTGGTCTTAATCTCGGTCCATACTCCTTAGTCCAAAATATATGTCCATATTCCTTAGTCCAATATCTTGGTCTAAATCTTAATCCATATTCCTTAGTCCAGTATCTCGGTCCATATTCCTTAGTCCAATGTCTTGGTCTAAATCCCGATCCATATTCCTTAGTCCAATATCTTGGCCTAAATCTCGGTCCATATTCTTTAGGCCAATATCTTGGCCTAAATCTCGGTCAATATTCCTTAGTCCAGTATCTCGGTCCATATTCCGTAGTCCAGTATCATTGCCTAAATCTCGGTCCATATTCCTTAATCCAATATCTTGGCCTAAATTTCGGTCCATATTCCTTAGTCCAATATGTTGGCCTAAATCTCGGTCCATATTCCTTAATCCAATATCTTGCCTAAATTTCGGTCCATATTCCTTAGTCCAATATGTTGGCCTAAATCTCTGTCCATATTCCTTAGTCCAATGTCTTGGTCTAAATCCCGATCCATATTCCTTAGTCCAATATCTTGGCCTAAATCTCGGTCCATATTCTTTAGGCCAATATCTTGGCCTAAATCTCGGTCAATATTCCTTAGTCCAGTATCTCGGTCCATATTCCGTAGTCCAGTATCATTGCCTAAATCTCGGTCCATATTCCTTAATCCAATATGTTGGCCTAAATCTCGGTCCATATTCCTTAATCCAATATCTTGGCCTAAATCTCGGTCCATATTCTTTAGTCCGATATCTTGGCCTAAATCTCAGTCAATATTCTTAGTCTACCTTAGTCTTTGTAACCAGGCCTCGTTTCGTCACCACATATCACATTTTTTGACGATGGCACTAAGTAACTTAGCATTATGTTAACTTGTATGTTTGTAGCTCTTAATCTGACACCCATTATGACAGAACTATACTAGATGGGATTAGTCAGGATGTAACGATACATTTTACACTATAATAGTGCCGTGTAATGGTGTAAGGTGGGAGAGTGTATGTCTGACAACGTTGAGGTTATGTGTACTAGAAGTAAGTATTCACATCACATCAACTTTACACATTGTATAAGTTTTGTCTACATCCGCTGATGAAGATAATTATCACGTGCAGATATATCTACCTGCACGTATGTACATATATACCCCCTCCCTCCTGCAGTTAATACTCTCGTTACTTTGTGTAGACCGATTTATTTCAAACAGAAAATTACAATCTCAACATTCCACGATACGCTATCATTTTAAATGCTTGAATTATTCATGAGAAAAAATAAGAATATGTATGTACAAGAGATGGAGATGTAAAGTGTTTCGCTCTGGTAAATATTTCCACAGTCTATCTGGCTGTATCTAATTACAGTCTCGAGACTGCTGTGATGAGCGTCAATAAAAATCGGGTAAAAAGGCAGGCTTGTTTTTGTAAACTTTCCATGTAATTTTCTTGTCGTGTTCTGAAATTCAGTTTTGTAAATATAACATGTACCATAAGATGGGCGATGTTGTATTAAGTGTCCGGTTTACACAGGCAGGTAACATCTTTAACCAATGTTGGTATATATTTCAGGCTATAGGTCTCAGCTTCTGTCCGCAATAACTATAACGAATCCCGATTCATCCATTCCAGTGGTTCTGTTTGTTTTCTACAAACCATACAACTAGAACGGTTTTGTTTGTTGTAGTAATGTTTAACGTCACATAAACAGCTAGGGTCATTTAAGAACGGTCTCCCGGTGTATACGGGATATTGTGTATGTTGTATTGAGTGCGCGTGTTTGTCAGAGACTGTGATAATTACGTATAAGCCTCCTCGTGATAGTGTTGAATTTACAGTGCTATCACACTGAAGTGTATTGCCGAAGACCCCAATCAGGACATCCCACCCGGTCACATTATACTGACAGCGAGAGTCATTACGCTACCACACTACCGATCTGGAAGTAATGACTAACATTGTAACGGACAATGGACAGTGTCCAGACCCTTCCTCACACAAAAACTCAACTAAGGCCAAAAATGAGGCAGTTTCTGGGGAGATGTTAAGACAAAAGCTGTTTAAAAAAGGAGGGACACCCAAGCAACAGGGTTGAGAGAAAGAAAACAATTTCGATACACTTGTACGGCAGGAACTGAGGCGAAAGCAAACCATCTGGAACTCGAAAATACAACCAGCCAATAGTTTTTTTAATAGAAAACAAAGCAACAGGAATTAACGGGTCACTAAACATTTAGACACGGATCAGATATCAAAACAATGAAGGATGTTGTCGTGATATTTAAACAATGCCAACAAAAGAGACGTCAACTAAAAAAAACACCAAAAAAGGTTATATCACATCAAATTAAGAAATTATATCTATAGCCCTAAGGTCAGGTACAGTCCTCTAATTTCAGGTGGAGGTCAGAGTTCATGCATTGTATTCCCTTTATGACATATAATTATACAAAAGCCCTGTTACACAAAGGAATTGACTTTCAAATCGCCCTGTTTAACTCAGGAAGTATCCGATATATCTACAGTGATACTCCTCTATACAATATTTCCCTATCATATCTATACCTTTCATTGCTGGAATTCAACATTATCTTAACAACATACCGACTTACGTTAAACTTGGATACGATTTAAATTCTTTCATAATCTAGGATCGACATACCATTAGTCATTAAAAATTGATTCTAAAATAATAGATGTTTATCACTGGAATTGGTATAAGGTTTACAGATCATCATTTGGTCGTTCGGAATATGAATAAATCCGTAGAAAGAAAAATCTGGAATAACGTATATCCAGATTAAAGAAATCTTACTCCGTGGATTAATAATAAAGTAATAGAAACAGAACCGATACGAGACCATTTGAAATAGTTTTACATTATACATCAAGAAGCGATTTGATTTTTTCCGAACAAGCACAATTACTTCAAAAACAGAAAATAGAGATGATAAAAAATTCTGTTTATGTGTGACGTCATAACATGCGATCATTGCTCTCTAAGGTGAGATAAAGAAATACCAAACGTAACAGACATTTTGATCAAAGTTGTCAACAGGTGTGAGAATGATGATTGATATATACTTCTGACCAAGACAGGTACATACAGCATAAAGAATATAGGTAAATAGCGTCATGTGATCAATGTTTACATCATTACCGCTATAGACATGACATACTTACTGCAAACAGGTGACACATGGTCACAGCAAGGCCAATAGACAGTGGAAAGGAACCGCCTAAGTCCTTACGTTTTTTGTCACATGTCGCAAAAATGGTAAAGATGAGAATAAATGTTATAAAGAACTCAATTCCAAACGCCTTGCCACCATCTACGTCACTGTGTGGTACTGTAGCACCCAGACTATCCTGACGACGGACGGGTGTCATTCCCTTCAGCAATCCCGCGCCAATAATTGCACCCAGGCATTGTACTACGATGTAGAGAACGGCACGTGCCAAACTTATTTGACGCGTGATGAAGAACGCACACGTGACCGCGGGATTGATATGTCCCCCGCTTACATGTCCAATGCTCCATACAATAGTTGCAACACTGAGTCCGAAACAGAATGCGATCTGTACTACTTTATTATCAGCATCCCAAGCCACACATGACCCACACCCTACCATCACCAGTAACAAAGTTCCCAGGAACTCGGCTCCTACAGCCTTCCAAAACCGCAAAGATTTCAAATCATCTATGCTCGTAATCATCCTGTACCTTCGTGCCCAATGATTCGCAGGAACAGAATCACGACTAAACTTCTTCTTGTGAGAAGTGAACTCCGGCATAGGCTATCTTCACGTAATAAATTGTACAAATACTCAAACAGATATCGCTCGTGTTACTACTGTTGGTGGCGCCAACCGTGGATTGCTACTACCCTCATCAAATTGTCGTTGTTTCTGAGTCTATGCCCGCTTATAACAGCTAGTAGCATGTCCCGTCAATGTTGTACATCGGTTATATTAGCAATGAGTGATAACACACACAGCCTATCTACAATTACATAAACGTTGTCCTACCGCGGCCTACCTATTCCCGGGTAGGGACAATCTACCTGTAGAATAAAATGACAGCTGATATATATGAACATATTACTACACCATGCAAACATAGAATTGTCCGCAGTTTGGAAAGTATGGCTATGTAGAACCCTCCTGGGAGGACATCAAGCGACACAGGAAATCTACATCCAATCCCGCTGATGACCGCCAGCAACACCAATATTTCCAGCACGTGAATGTCAATTAATAGATCAGCACCGCCCTCTATAGTAATTACGTTTTCCATCTGACTATTGAAAACATATATTATCAAAACACGTTTGGACAATAATTGTCAAAGTTTATACCATTTTGGAGACGGGGTGGAACCACGGATACAAATACCACATTACTTTTCATTAGATGAAATGTGTATTTCAAATATTGGTATCACGCTGTCTATTTCCATTACACACAGAACAAGGCCTTCTAATTTCGATCGAACAGTATTCCCTACAGATCATGTATTCTTTTGATCATCACGTTAGCACTTAAACTAATCGAATTTATTTGTGATCTCCTCGCTAACGAACTCTCATCTCTGACAACTCCCTACCCAGGCATGGATTCCGCTATCTGATATTCAAATGATGCCTCATAACTATTCATTTATGTTACCAAACATGTGGACATGAACATTTCACATCGAGTTACTAAGGTTGATTTTAATTATTCCGGTGAATTCATCAAACTTTTATCTTGTTTACTTTATTTATCTATTTTGAATTTCCTTCCTATTTTTCCAATTTGAAAAATAATTAGGTAAAAAAAAACTTCATTATTTATGTCCAACACAATTTCTTTTTTCTGTGCAAGCGACGCCATTGTTTTACACTACCGTATACATCACAAATACAGTTATTGATTTGAATAAAGTTTTGTGTGTTTAAATCTAACTAGCTGTAAAGTTAAAAAAAAACACACACACACAAACAATCTTTATGGAATCATATTGCCGAAAAATTCCTTAGTGAAGAGCTGAAAAGTGAGAATCTTCAAACCGCCAAAAAAATTAACGGAATGATAAATACGTTTTTAACCAATTATCTGAAGGATAAATACGTTTTTGACTACAATTTTTAATTGGACTTGGTGACAATTGGAATGTTGCGGGCATGCATTTCTTGACCTCGTCATGTTTGTTCTCTGGACTCTACATTGAACGTTCCACGTATCGCGAAAGTTCTTTCCCAAACTCCAGTATAAGTCAGCCTGAATAGGACCTTTGGAGCGTATCGTTCTTTACCTGATGTTAATTTTGAGTAATATATCAACAAGGACTTGATAGTCACTTGTCGGTATAACGTGACGTCGAGGTGTGACGTCATGTCACTGTTCTCAGGTTATGACATTTCAGTGTGAAGGCACATCATTCACACTGGCTGTTTATTGCTGCATTCATCACCCCTTGAATAGCCAGAATCATTCTGAAGCGGGATTTCCTTGTAAAACCTGGTGGCTTCATCACTGATCAGTCTACGAGAGGCCCATCGTATGTCATCCAGAGCAATTAGGATGAAGTGACCTACCCAGGGACAGCTATAACACATAATGATCTAATCCTCAGTTTCCTGGGAAACACAAACCGCATCGAAAAAAGAAAAAAATCGAACCACAGACCCCAGATCTTAAGCAGAAGGAGTAAAGTTCGACGCTCCATCGACACATCTGTCCTGCTTCCTTCCATCGCATTGTGAAGACAATACGATTTGTGTTATGAAATGATAACACCATGTGACCACGTGCACAGTATTGTGATTTCATCGACCTCATTGTGACAGAACTAATTTTGTTGGTCAAATAATCAGTTTATTAAAATTCTAAACATTACTGATATATATTTTATGAAATGGTGTTATGATCCAATATCACTAACTCGCAGACAAACTACCATACCTATCAGTCATATTTCATTGAACTTGTTAGTTTAATAGCAAAGGTCGATATAGGTATACGATTTCATAGTCATTGCTTATACAAATATGATGATTTTGCATGAATTTGCGAAGTATTGGACCCTTTTATTGAAATATGACAGATTGAATCATTTTCTGGCGAGTTTTATCAGATTTCAGGGTGCACTGACTGAACACGAGGTAATTAAAACATGTTTCTGCTCTGTCACCTGTTCTAACAATATCTGGCCTGTTTGTGGCCCGTGAGAGGATCCCCAAGGTGGAATCAAAAAGCATTACACCAGAATCAATATAACAGAGATAAATTTAGACACGAACATCAAAGTGTGGACATTCCCAAGCGCGTCTGGCTTTAGTAGACAACATTACAATGTTGTTGGTTCTAAAACGTCTTATTCTGTTTGATTTGTTGACAACACTTGTTGACAGAGAAGTTGGAGAGTTTTTTTCCTTGTCGACACACTGATTTTCTGTACAGTGTAGTCCTAAACACACCCGTACGGAAGGATAAGTAAATACAAGGTTGTATATAAGAATGTGCAATTAATATTACGTGACAATTTACAACCCTGAATATGACGACAAATACTATCTCCTTCAATATAAGTTATAACTTCAGCCCGATTGTCAGTTCTATTACCAAAATTCAAAATAGTTCCAAATCTGCAATACATTAATGCAGAAACAGCAACGAACAAAAATCAACACCTAAAGCACCAACAAACACAAAAACAGCAGCAACAACAACGGAAGCAGCAACAACAGAAGCAGCAACAACAACAGAAGCAGCAACAACAACAAAAACAGCGACAACAACAGAAGCAGCAACAACAGAAGCAGCAACAACAACAGAAGCAACAACACCAACAGAAGCAGCATCAACAACGGAAGCAGCAACAACAACAGAGGCAACAACAACAAAAACAGCGACAACAACAGAAGCAGCAACAGAAGCAGCAACAACAACAAAAACAGCGACAACAACAGAAGCAGCAACAACAGAAGCAGCAACAACAACAGAAGCAGCATCAACAACGGAAGCAGCAACAACAACAGAGGCAACAACAACAAAAACAGCGACAACAACAGAAGCAGCAACAACAACAAAAGCAGCAACAACAACAACAAAAACAGCAACAACAACAGAAGCAGCAGCAACAACAGAAGCAGCAACAACAACAGAAGCAACAACAACAACAGAAGCAACAACAACAACAACAGAAGCACCAACAACAGAAGCAGCAACAACAACAGAAGCAACAACAACAACAGAAGCAACAACAACAACAGAAGCAACAACAACAACAGAAGCAACAACAACAGAAGCAGCAACAACAGAAGCAGCAACAACAGAAGCAACAACAACAACAACAGAAGCAGCAACAACAACAGAAGCAGCAACAATAACAGAAGCAACAACAACAACAGAAGCAACAACAGAAGCAGCAATAACAACAGAAGCACCAACAACAGAAGCAGCAACAACAACAGAATCAACAACAACAGAAGCAGCAACAACAACAGAAGCACCAACAACAGAAGCAGCAACAACAACAGAAGCAGCAACAACAGAAGCACCAACAACAGAAGCAGCAACAACAACAGAAGCAACAACAACAGAAGCAGCAACAACAACAGAAGCAGCAACAACAGAAGCTGCAACAACAACAGAAGCAGCAACAACAGAAGCTGCAACAACAACAGAAGCAGCAACAACAACAACAAAAGCAGCAACAACAACAGAAGCAACAACAACAGAAGCAACAACAACAACAAAAGCAGCAACAACAGAAGCTGCAACAACAACAGAAGCAGCAACAACAACAACAAAAGCAGCAACAACAACAGAAGCAGCAACAACAACAACAAACGCAGCAACAACAACAGAAGCTGCAACAACAACAGAAGCAGCAACAACAACAACAAAAGCAGCAACAACAACAGAAGCTGCAGCAACAGAAGCAGCAACAACAAAAGCAGCAACAACAACAGAAGCTGCAACAACAACAGAAGCAGCAACAACAACAACAAAAGCAGCAACAACAACAGAAGCAGCAACACCAACAGAAGCAACAACAACAACAATAGAAGCAACAACAGAAGCAGCAACAACAGAACTAGCAGCAACAACATTAGGTAAAAACATTGAAATATTTGCCGCTATCATGTAATGTCTCCTGCAGATCACGTACACGACATTGATGGGGATCTGAGAAATGTCCGACCTAACCTTTGGTTCGCAGAAGTCAACTTCTTCATTCCTGAATAACAGAAATACTTAGGTAAGGTGATTTACATAAACTACGTATCATAGACTCTGCTAAATTTCTAATGTTATATTTTTTTACCTATTACAAGGTCAAGGCGCTCCTTTTCTTTACGTATCTAGCCTTAATGATAACATAATCTCTGTATTTGATATTCTATCTCTATATTGTATACATCCTGATATCTTAGATATCTAAACGTGACTGAGCTTACATTTTGAATGTTGGCTGGTTATGACCACCTCGTGTTGTCGTCCTGTCGTCCTGTCGATGTTAACAACGCGACAAGATGACATTTTATATCTCGGGTTGTCTTCACAGCTTTGACCAAGCGACAAGAAGATAAGATAATAGAACCATAAGGTGACAAGACATGAGATGGCTGTAATCAACCACCACACATACATCATATAACACCTACAGTAATACTAAAAGTCGTGAAAACTCTTTCATCCAACGTCACGTGTATCTTCTCATAAACCATAAAGTTGTTTTCAAAAGTGATGTAACGTTCGTGTGATGTTGTTTGGACGTTCGTGTGATGTTGCATGGACGTTCGTGTGATGTTGTTTGGACGTTCGTGTGATGTTGTTTGGATGTTCGTGTGATGTTGTATGGACGTTCGTGTGATGTTGTTTGGATGTTCGTGTGATGTCGTATGGACGTTCGTGTGATGTTGTATGGACGTTCGTGTGATGTTGTTTGGATGTTCGTGTGATGTTGTATGGACGTTCGTGTGATGTTGTTTGGACGTTCGTGTGATGTTGTTTGGACGTTCGTGTGATGTTGTTTGGATGTTCGTGTGATGTTGTTTGGACGTTCGTGTGATGTTGTTTGGACGTTCGTGTGATTTTGTATGGACGTTCGTGTGATGTTGTTTGGACGTTCGTGTGATGTTGTTTGGACGTTCGTGTGATGTTGTATGGACGTTCGTGTGATGTTGTTTGGATGTTCGTGTGATGTTGTTTGGATGTTCGTGTGATGTTGTTTGGATGTTCGTGTGATGTTGTATGGACGTTCGTGTGATGTTGTATGGACGTTCGTGTGATGTTGTTTGGACGTTCGTGTGATGTTGTTTGGATGTTCGTGTGATGTTGTTTGGACGTTCGTGTGATGTTGTTTGGACGTTCGTGTGATGTTGTTTGGATGTTCGTGTGATGTTGTTTGGACGTTCGTGTGATGTTGTTTGGACGTTCGTGTGATGTTGTATGGACGTTCGTGTGATGTTGTTTGGACGTTCGTGTGATGTTGTTTGGACGTTCGTGTGATGTTGTTTGGACGTTCGTGTGATGTTGGGACGCCGTAGTTGTTTAGGTAGACGACGTTTTAACACCTCTTTCTGCGAATAACATAGCTTAGAATCACGTAATTTGATTTTTAAATATGTATTTGTTAATTCATTATCTTATATTTGTCTCGTGAATACTTGATATAGCGACCTCCCTTTCGTCGTTAAATAAATAAGGTCGCGCGCGCACGAGATCAAACATCACATGATATCGATCTTACCATGTGCGCTCCACATGCGTTGGGGAATAGCTTGCGACGTTTAAAAATAATATTAAAATGTTTATCTCTTTTAATTTTGATCCGATTCGAAAATTTCACACCGGTTAATCGTAATGATTGTAATATACGACATCCGAAACACACAAAACACTCCTCGCGTAGTTAAAGGAAATTTTCTATTAACCTAATACAATCGTATAACCAATGTGATATTCAATTGTTTTAAAAACCAGTATTTCATTGATGTAAAGTCTGAATTTAATTCAAGTAGACAAAATACAAATCAAACACAGTGAGCCAATACCAAATCGGTTCAACCAAGAGTGAATCCACTGCAATACTCAGACCTCTCGTCTCCCTGTCTCAGGCAATGGCTGAAACCGGACTTTTTTTCTTCTCAAACTCACTATTATACATAAATTCATCATATGTCCAAATCTCTTCATTCAGACCTCGGTATGTGAAATATGTGTGATGACGTGAAAATTTCATTCCTAAAGAACTTTTAGCTATTAGTTAACGTGAAAAGGCAAAGACAAAGCAAAGTTTGCGACCATCTTTAAAACTTTGCCTTGATAAATATTTTATCATGGATAAACGATTACGTTCAGCGTAAACATATTCGAAACAATTCAAAAGGACAACTTAAAAAGATCTTTTTACGTCAAAGTTGATAAGCATCAAATATCAGTTCCTTTCACATGAAAAAGAAGACGCTTATCCTTCTGGAACACCTGATATTACTTTCCTTTTGTTTGTTTGTTTGTTTGTTTGTTTGTTCTTTGTATATCTTTGGCTTGTTTATGTTTTGTCTTTTTTTCGATTTTGAAATTTGGATTACAATTCGTTTCACTTATTTAACATGCATCATCACTGACGAATCATCGAAGAAGAAACGGCTGCATGACGTAGTTTTAACACATTATATGGCAATGCTGTTGTGGAAAGCACTATTCACTTTTCTGTCGAGAACAAAGGACTTCCAGATGATTGCTAAACTCAATTTATTCAACTTGTTGAAATTCTCTTCTTATCTGTTCACCTAAGATGAACAAATATAACGCGACAAAATAACGTTATAAGGTTCAATGATATGTTTACATATGTATGTTGTCATTTTTCATTTTTCAACATTTGCATAACTCAGTTTTCTAGTAGATATGTCCCTCTAACAACTTTCCAGGAATCAGGTTTTCAGGGCGTTTGCCAAAAGGTCAATTATATCACTTATAGATAGTTTAAGAAACAACTTTGTCAGACAAGTATGCTTATACTAAACTTTAGTGTCTGTAGTAGAATTATTAATCGAAATTCAAAGTTTAACACAACAAAGATGTATAATGTTGGAAATCCAGTGAGAGTTAATAACTTACACCGGTATTATCACATAGTATTGGCGTCAAAATATAACCATATGTATGACGGTAATGTCGTGGGTATGCTGAAACGATAAGTGAGAATGTATCAATAATTACAAACTACCCCTTCTATAGGTCCAAAACCATTCTTTCTATAGGTCCAAAACCATTCCTTCTATAGGTCCAAAACCATTCTTTCTATAGGTCCAAAACCATTCTTTCTATAGGTCCAAAACCATTCCTTCTATAGGTCCAAAACCATTCCTTCTATAGGTCCAAAACCATTCCTTCTATAGGTCCAAAACCATTCCTTCTATAGGTCCAAAACCATTCTTTCTATAGGTCCAAAACCATTCCTTCTATAGGTCCAAAACCATTCTTTCTATAGGTCCAAAACTACTCCTTCTATAGGTCCAAAGCCGTTCCTTCTATAGGTCCAAATCTACCCCTTCTATAGGTCCAAAACCATTTCTTCTATAGGTCTAAAACCAATCCTTCTATAAGTCCAAAAGTACTCCTTCTATAGGTCCAAAACCATTCTTTCTATAGGTCCAAAACCATTCCTTCTATAGGTCCAAAACCATTCTTTCTATAGGTCCAAAACCATTCCTTCTATAGGTCCAAAACCATTCTTTCTATAGGTCCAAAACCATTCCTTCTATAGGTCCAAAACCATTCTTTCTATAGGTCCAAAATCATTCTTTCTATAGGTCCAAAACCATTCCTTCTATAGGTCCAAAACCATTCCTTCTATAGGTCCAAAACCATTCTTTCTATAGGTCCAAAACCATTCCTTCTATAGGTCCAAAACCATTCTTTCTATAGGTCCAAAACAAGTCATTCTATAGGTCCAAAACCATTTTCTATAGGTCCAAAACCATTCCTTCTATAGGTCCAAAACCATTCTTTCTATAGGTCCAAAACTACTCCTTCTATAGGTCCAAAGCCGTTCCGTCTATAGGTCCAAATCTACCCCTTCTATAGGTCCAAAACCATTTCTTCTATAGGTCTAAAACCAATCCTTCTATAAGTCCAAAAGTACTCCTTCTATAGGTCCAAAACCATTCTTTCTATAGGTCCAAAACCATTCTTTCTATAGGTCCAAAACCATTCTTTCTATAGGTCCAAAACCATTTCTTCTATAGGTCTAAAACCAATCCTTCTATAAGTCCAAAACGATTCCTTCTATAGGTCCAAAACCTTTCCTTCTATAGGTCCAAAACCATTCCATATGTAGGTCCAAAAGTACCCCTTCTATAGGTCCAAAACCATTCCTTCTGTTGGTCCAAAACTACCCCTTCTTCAAGTCCAAAACCATTCCTTCTATGGGTCAAAAACAAATCTTCTAGGTCCAAAATCAATCCTTGTAGAGGTCCAAATCTTTCCTTTTTTAAACAGAAATGCATACATCCCAATCATACCAGTACCTGTATATACGTTAATGTTCTACACTATAAAGAACACTTTTACGATACACAAAATGGATTGTGAAAAGTCTTTTATAACAATTTTGAACCTTGTGATCTTGCAAGAGGCTGAAGGTCACTCCCATAAGGAAACATTTCAACAATCCATCCGAAGTACCCACTGGTAAAATCTCAGTACCTGGTTCATGGTGATTTTTTTAGAAGACATTGAAATGTTGACAGACCAGATGCCACACCTTTGACACCCAATGCCACACCTAGACACCCAATGCAACACCTTAGACACCCAATGCCACAACTAGGACATCCAATGCCACACATAGGACACCTGATGCCACACCATGGACACCCAATACCACAACTAGGACACTTAATTCCATGCCTCGGACACTTGATGCCACACCTTGGACACCCAATGCCACAACTAGGACACTTAATTCCACACTTCGGACACTTGATGCCACACCTTTGACACCCAATGCCACAATTAGGACACTTAATTTCACGCCTCGGACACCTGATGCCACACCTTGGACACCCAATGCCACAACTTGGACACCCAATGCCACAACTAGGACACTTAATTCCACGCCTCGGACACCTGATGCCACACCTTGGACACCCAATGCCACAACTTGGACACCCAATGCCACAACTAGGACACTTAATTCCACACCTCGGACACTTGATGCCACACCTTTGACACCCAATGCCACAACTAGGACACTTAATTCCACACCTCGGACACCTGATGCCACACCTCGGACACCTAATGCCACACCTTGGACACCCAATGCTACACTTAGGTCACTCATGCAGTTTAATAAAACCAGTGGTTGTTGATAGATATTCCTATGTAAACACTTTGATAATATAGTGATATATATCTTAATAAGCAAACAAGTTGGGTATTTTCTTTCAAAAGATTTAAAATACAAGACAATTTACTATTTGTAAGAAAATATTTATTAAATTCATAAAAAAAAGACGTGTACATATCTATGAAATCTGGCTAGAACAAATAAGCTATTACCAGGGGTTTGGTGTTTCAAACTAACACACAAAGATTTGGTGTTCTGGACAAACAAATCATGATAAGCTGTTCTGAACTGACACACAGTGATTTGTTCTGAACTAACACACAGTGATTTGTTCTGAACTGACACACAGTGATTTGTTCTGAACTGACACACAGTGGTTTGTTCTGAACTGACACACAGTGATTTGTTCTGAACTGTAACACAGTGATTTGTTCTGAACTGACACACAGTGGTTTGTTCTGAACTGACACACAGTGATTTGTTCTGAACTGACACACAGTGATTTGTTCTGAACTGACACACAGTGATTTGTTCTGAACTAACAGACAGTGATTTGTTCTGAACTAACACACAGTGGTTTGTTCTGAACTAACACACAGTGATTTGTTCTGAACTATCACACAGTAATTTGTTCTGAACTAACAGACAGTGATTTGTTCTGAACTGACACACAGTGATTTGTTCTGAACTGACACACTGATTTGTTCTAAACTAACAGACAGTGATTTGTTCTGAACTAACACACAGTGGTTTGTTCTGAACTAACACACAGTGATTTGTTCTGAACTATCACACAGTAATTTGTTCTGAACTAACAGACAGTGATTTGTTCTGAACTGACACACAGTGATTTGTTCTGAACTGACACACAGTGATTTTTTCTGAACGAACACATAGTGATTTGTTCTGAACTGACACACAGTGATTTGTTCTGAACTGACACACAGTGGTTTGTTTTGAACTAACACACAGTGATTTGTTCTGAACTAACACACAGTGATTTGTTCTGAACTAACACAGTGATTTGTTCTGAACTAACAGACAGTAATTTGTTCTGAACTAACACACAGTTATTTGTTCTGAACTAACACCCAGTGATTTGTTCTGAACTGACACACAGTGATTTGTTCTGAACTGATACACAGTGATTTTTTCTGAACGAACACATAGTGATTTGTTCTGAACTGACACACAGTGATTTGTTCTGAACTGACACACAGTGGTTTGTTTTGAACTAACACACAGTGATTTGTTCTGAACTAACACACAGTGATTTGTTCTGAACTAACACACAGTGATTTGTTCTGAACTAACACACAGTGATTTGTTCTGAACTAACACACAGTTATTTGTTCTGAACTAACACCCAGTGATTTGTTCTGAACTGACACACAGTGATTTGTTCTGAACTGACACACAGTGATTTGTTCTAAACTAACAGACAGTGATTTGTTCTGAACTAACACACAGTGATTTGTTCTGAACTAACACACAGTGATTTGTTCTGAACTATCACACAGTAATTTGTTCTGAACTAACAGACAGTGATTTGTTCTGAACTAACACACAGTGATTTGTTCTGAACTAACACACGGTGATTTGTTCTGAACTAACTTACAGTGAAATGTTCTGAACTAACACACAGTGATTTGTTCTGAACTGACACACAGTGATTTGTTCTAAACTAACAGACAGTGATTTGTTCTGAACTAACACACAGTGATTTGTTCTGAACTAACACACAGTGATTTGTTCTGAACTAACACACAGTGATTTGTTCTGAACTATCACACAGTAATTTGTTCTGAACTAACAGACAGTGATTTGTTCTGAACTGACACACAGTGATTTGTTCTGAACTAACACACGGTGATTTGTTCTGAACTAACTTACAGTGAAATGTTCTGAACTAACACACAGTGATTTGTTCTGAACTAACACACAGTAATTTGCCATTCTGAATGAAAATTCATTAACAAATAAAAAAAAGATGGGATAACTTACTAAATTGATGCTTTCTGGACAATACTGAAGATTTTGTGTGTTAGACAAATAATGTGAAGATATTGTCTCCAGTAAATTGCATTGACACTATCAATGATATCTGATATTACAGCTATATTCTATATTAGATACCAGTCTTCCTGACAAACCCTCCAGTATGTCATACATATACCATATGAACTCTTTCCTGGTACATTTATTTGCAACTAAGGCAAAGAAAATACACAAATTATGCTCAAATGTGTAATTTTCCAAAATAAGATGCAGTAAATTTTACCTCCTCCCCAAGGGAAAATGTAAGACTTCAGGGGCATGACATTTACAATTTTCATCAAGCACCTTAAGACACTTCCATCCATAAAATGTATTTGGTTCTACATTATCTGGGTATTGAGAAGAAGAGTTTTGAAATTTCAGTCAATTTGACCCATTTTTGGCCCTGCCCAACAGCCCTAGGGAAATATTAATAGTTAATATCTACATCTCATTAAACTTAAACTAATAATCATAACCAGGTTTGAAATATATCTATATATATATATATATCTATAAGATGATAAACAAGTAATGTTCAAAAATCTAATTTTCCTATATAGACAATAGTAAACTTTACCCTCTGTCATGAAATTTACAATTTGGTAAAGCATCTGAAGCTGAAGACCTTTCCATCCTTGAAGAGTACTTGATTCTACCATACATGGAATATTAGAAGAAGATTTTTGAAGTTTTAATCATTTTGACCCTTTTGGCCTCACCCCTCAGACCCCTGGGGGCTGGGGACCATATAATTTACAATTTTGGTGCGCCTTTAGCCATGGAAGGTTTTTGAAAATTTTCATTAAAATGAGTTTCCAAAAGAAGTCAAAAATGTTAAAAGTTTAAGACTTACGACACACGATGCCAGACAAAAGGGGATGGTAAAGATCAAAAGTGACATGAAATTTTAGTACAAGTGGATTACGTGAATGAAATTTAGTACACATAGTAAATTTTGTGAGTAATATTCATCTATGAAGACAAGGGCCAAAATAAGAAATAAATTTCTTGAAACACCTCAAAATTTGAGCTCCACAAAAATACAATGTTTTACAGTATATTTAATGTAATGTATGACATAGATCTATCCTGTTGAACACAATTTCCTTATTAATGTAAAACATAACATTCAAATACCTTCACATCTGTTACATATTTACCTCCCCTGAATGAAATTAAGACTTAATTGTATGTAATGTTGACATGAAACAGAATCATTTTATAAGGCTGCTTTAGTAAAATCTGGTTAAAATAGTGACACGAAAAAAATTCTGAAATGAATATAAAAAAACCTGTACTGGTAGTATGGATTATTCTAACATTCTATCAATTTTTTATCGATGTTCTGTCAGACTTGAGTCTAAAAAAGGTCATAGAACATCGCAGTAGTTTGGACATCTGTTGAGAGCGGGAAATGTTTATGTAGAGGTCTAAGTGCACAGTACCAGAATTTGCCCAATAATGTAATTATTCCATTTTAAGCTATATTGAATATAATTACACAGAAATTCGTGTGTTCATTAACCTCCTTTCAGGCAAAATTTCTTAAAATTTATCACAGTCAGCCCTTTAGTTTCAGGAATGTCAAAAATGTGTGTGTCAATTTTTCCACAGTTCTCTCTCAATCTTTTCTATCATTAGCTATGACTGGTGTTTTTCTTGCAATGCAAGTTCATCCAGTCCTACTGTTCATGCAATATTTAAGGGAGATAACTCTGATGAAATGATAATGTATATAATATACAACATACCACAAGAATTGAAATCTTGCGAATTTCTGACTTTGAAAATCTACAACAAACAAGAGATTCTGAATCTATGACGACTGAAATACTGACTAGTTTACATATTGAACAAAACAATTAACAAAAAATCTATATAAATCAATCGTCAATCAGAATTACAGACATTGAATGATATCTCAAACGTATTGATCTCTCAGTGGAGGAAAAAAATTCTGAAAATATCAGAAAAAAATTCTTCAATAAGTGAAGTTTTACTGTACCAGCCTGACAGAACACTATAGTCTCTAGTGTGGTGAAGTTTTACTGTACCAGAGTGACAGAACACTATAGTCTCTAGTGTGGTGAAGTTTTACTGTACCAGAGTGACAGAACACTATAGTCTCTAGTGTGGTGAAGTTTTACTGTACCAGCCTGACAGAACACTATAGTCTCTAGTGTGGTGAAGTTTTACTGTACCAGCCTGACAAAACACTATAGTCTCTAGTGTGGTGAAGTTTTACTGTACCAGAGTGACAGAACACTATAGTCTCTAGTGTGGTGAAGTTTTACTGTACCAGCCTGACAGAACACTATAGTCTCTAGTGTGGTGAAGTTTTACTGTACCAGAGTGACAAAACACTATAGTCTCTAGTGTGGTGAAGTTTTACTGTACCAGAGTGACAGAACACTATAGTCTCTAGTGTGGTGAAGTTTTACTGTACCAGAGTGACAGAACACTATAGTCTCTAGTGTGGTGAAGTTTTACTGTACCAGCCTGACAGAACACTATAGTCTCTAGTGTGGTGAAGTTTTACTGTACCAGAGTGACAGAACACTATAGTCTCTAGTGTGGTGAAGTTTTACTGTACCAGCCTGACAGAACACTATAGTCTCTAGTGTGGTGAAGTTTTACTGTACCAGCCTGACAGAACACTATAGTCTCTAGTGTGGTGAAGTTTTACTGTACCAGCCTGACAGAACACTATAGTCTCTAGTGTGGTGAAGTTTTACTGTACCAGCCTGACAGAACACTATAGTCTCTAGTGTGGTGAAGTTTTACTGTACCAGCCTGACAGAACACTATAGTCTCTAGTGTGGTGAAGTTTTACTGTACCAGAGTGACAGAACACTATAGTCTCTAGTGTGGTGAAGTTTTACTGTACCAGCCTGACAGAACACTATAGTCTCTAGTGTGGTGAAGTTTTACTGTACCAGCCTGACAGAACACTATAGTCTCTAGTGTGGTGAAGTTTTACTGTACCAGCCTGACAGAACACTATAGTCTCTAGTGTGGTGAAGTTTTACTGTACCAGCGTGACAGAACACTATAGTCTCTAGTGTGGTGAAGTTTTACTGTACCAGCGTGACAGAACACTATAGTCTCTAGTGTGGTGAAGTTTTACTGTACCAGCCTGACAGAACACTATAGTCTCTAGTGTGGTGAAGTTTTACTGTACCAGCCTGACAGAACACTATAGTCTCTAGTGTGGTGAAGTTTTACTGTACCAGAGTGACAGAACACTATAGTCTCTAGTGTGGTGAAGTTTTACTGTACCAGAGTGACAGAACACTATAGTCTCTAGTGTGGTGAAGTTTTATTGTACCAGAGTGACAGAACACTATAGTCTCTAGTGTGGTGAAGTTTTACTGTACCAGCCTGACAGAACACTATAGTCTCTAGTGTGGTGAAGTTTTACTGTACCAGAGTGACAGAACACTATAGTCTCTAGTGTGGTGAAGTTTTATTGTACCAGAGTGACAGAACACTATAGTCTCTAGTGTGGTGAAGTTTTACTGTACCAGAGTGACAGAACACTATAGTCTCTAGTGTGGTGAAGTTTTACTGTACCAGAGTGACAGAACACTATAGTCTCTAGTGTGGTGAAGTTTTACTGTACCAGAGTGACAGATCACTATAGTCTCTAGTGTGGTTTTTATTCTATTGACATCACCAACCTGAAGAAAATGTTCCGAAATAAAATTTTTGTCTTGTCATGCTCCAGTCAGATTGAAAGAATTATAATAAAGGTTAAAGTATTAGAAACACATTTTGATATTTCACCCTTTCTGTGACTTTAGAAACAGAAATTACATCTCTGAGGTGTAATGTATTTCTTTCAGCCATTTTACATTTTATACTAGAATGTAGTGTGTGGATAGCGAACTTATAAATGGTACAAAAAAAACACCAGAGTCAACGGTGCTCCATAATTAATTGTTGATCTTTTTTAGCTGTATACCGTTTACTTTGGCTAAGTCTTCCACAACATTTGCACAAGGTATCATTTACATCCTAATTCATCTTTCTTACACTCGTAAAAATTAAACATTTTCTCTGTTTAAATACAAATCAGTACGTAATATAAAAGATTAATCACCACATAATTTTGTACAGCTATTGCACATTTTATAAACCCACAAAAAACAATTATGAAACACAAAGAACAATATTTCTAAGCTAAACTTTATAAACAAAGTCATTACAAAGCAAGTTTGATGGAAACCATGGTAAGTAACAGTTCAACATCATGTTCAAATATTATCAAAGCATTTATTGGCCTAAGAAAGGCAAAATTTTAATTTCTAATCAAATTTAAGAAAGGAAAAATATTTAAATATATATTTCAAAGCACTGTATTTATATTTATACAGCTTGAATAAAGTCAAATTCAGTGAAAGTCCCAAAAGATGTTATATCATTGTCTTAGCTCTTCCCCAGTACTATGAGTCAGAGGTAATGTTCAGTGCCTTGAATTTACTGTAGGACATGTACAATATGTGGACATGCTTCTACACCTGATCCTGCCAAGTTCAAATTAAAGAGAAATACACCAGCAAAGTATTAAAAAATTCTGCTCTAATAAAATTCACACTAATAACAAAGATCTCCAAATTTTAGTGCTGTTTGTTTGCCATATGTCAGGGATGGCACTCTACTGCTAGCAGTTGTTACAGAGAAACATTTTTACTACAAAACTAATACAACATCAACATCCTATCATAAATAAATACAAACGTCCCACAGACTTTCAACACTAACCTGAGTTATGATAATGTGTTTTTTCTTTAAACATGACATGAGGATAAATATATAAACAACACATGTAATGCAAATATGGCAGTCGTACTTTCACCTCCAAACTAATGTTGGAATCAATTTATATTATGATATTTAAGTTTAAACTTCTATCAGACACAACAGATCAAACAAATTGTATAATTGCTCCATCAAATGTAAATTACACTCAATATTTGAAGTGTTGAGAATGACGCACTCATAGTGTGTACTGGGTGTGGGCCTTGTTGTGTTGACTATGTTGTAGATTGTTGACAAGGTATAAGTTTTCAGTGTTAGGGTTTGTAAATTACGATGTAGATTTAGGGAGTTGACAGTGTATAATACCCCAGAAGAAGAGCCAGTTGGGAAGGATGAGGAGACTGAAGAAGGGATACATCCAGCTGGAGAAGAAATAATTGTCAATGATGGTGAGGAGTAGGCCATGTTTAGTTGTATCCCAAGATAATCCCATCATCCCAAGGAATGTCGACTTCTCCCCAATACAGGAAATCATGGCCGCTGCTAGTACCATGGAAGCCGGAGATATCAGAAATACAACAGCTTTCTGGATCAGATTTAACATCCTGAAACACACATCAGAAATACAACAGCTTTCTGGATCAGATTTAACATCCTGAAACACACATCAGAAATACAACAGCTTTCTGGATCAGATTTAACATCCTGAAACACACATCAGAAATACAACAGCTTCTGGATTAGATCATACATCAGGATTAATTTCTTACTACAATGTTTAAGCGCATGATACTTCAATAGACAGATCTGATGCCTCAAAAGATCATAAACCATGAATAAGCCCTGGGGCAGCCTTCACAAAATAATTCGTCTCAAAGCTTATTGCAAGACAAAGAAATTTGTAAGCATTCTATTGAGCTGCAATTGATGTCTATGTTCTTTGAGTGCTGGGTGTGCTATTATAGACATGGTTCATCAATGGTGTAACCAATACATCTACAAGTTCATAGAGCTTCACAAATGTGTCTTCACATATTAACTTTGTGTATATTATTTCTAATTGAATTTCATAAATCGGAAAATTTCATGCAGATAAATTATGTGCTTGTTTCATTAGACATTAACAGCTGTCAACAGGGAAACTTAAACTCAAGGCTACCAGAATAAAAACTTTATATCACATATACAAATGTTGCACACCATTTATAAACTTAATACTGTAAAAACTTACCTGCTATGTGTGGGGTGTACAATGACAGTGACGGGCACCAGAACGACGGCCAAGAAGAATGCCAGGGAGATATTCATTAGAGATATAGAGAAGAGAACCAGAGATTGGAATATAAGTGCCAGGCTCTTCAGCAGCTCCCAATCAAATGCTAGATTCTTGGCATGATCTGATTTCCTATCATCAGAAAAACAAAATAAAACTCTATACAACATAACCTCCATTATCCAATAATTTCAATTCAGCCATTGCTAGGTTGGTCTGTCACTAAGACTATTGTGTACGACAAATAAGTTAGGATTTTCTTTTTATTCTTTTCCTAGTTTACCTATGTACCATTATAGGGAATGGACACATTTCACACTTTCCAGGTGGGGGATGGGCCCAATTCAATTTTAACACCATCAGCTTGATTTTCTCTCTTGTAGACGATAAATTTATCTGGAAGTTGAAATCTGTTGAACAATTCTAAGGGTCATATCAATATCAATCTACTTTATTTTGAGCTGTGGCCTTTGGCTCCTACCAATCACCAAACAAGCCTCATTTGCTTGTGACTGTTACCGTGAAACTTGTCTGTATGGTGAGGATTTTGTTATAATCAAATAATTTTTACTCAAAATATTAAACTTTGACTTGAAAGTCTCCACAGTATTTGTATGTGGTTGTAACACGCTTCACGGAGCTAGAGGCCCAGTAAACAGTAACTTAGGTTATTTGTATGTGGTTGTAACACGCTTCACGGAGCTAGAGGCCCAGTAAACAGTAACTTAGGTTATTTGTATGTGGTTGTAACACGCTTCACGGAGCTAGAGGCCCAGTAAACAGTAACTTAGGTTATTTGTATGTGGTTGTAACACGCTTCACGGAGCTAGAGGCCCAGTAAACAGTAACTTAGGTTATTTGTATGTGGTTGTAACACGCTTCACGGAGCTAGAGGCCCAGTAAACAGTAACTTAGGTTATTTGTATGTGGTTGTAACACGCTTCACGGAGCTAGAGGCCCAGTAAACAGTAACTTAGGTTATTTGTATGTGGTTGTAACACGCTTCACGGAGCTAGAGGCCCAGTAAACAGTAACTTAGGTTATTTGTATGTGGTTGTAACACGCTTCACGGAGCTAGAGGCCCTGTAACACGCTTCACGGAGCTAAAGGCCCAGTAAACAGTAACTTAGGTTATTACTGTTAGTGCTTGCTGCTCTACTTGTGGAATTGATGATTGATGTGATTAAAAAAAACAATGAAAAACTGTGGTGGAAAGAAAATAAAAAGGACAGCCTCCCTAAGTGGTAGATGTACAACTAGATGATACAATAAAAACACTTGTATATTGTTTATTGGAATACAAAATCAATTTTAGTTTTGTGGTATTTACATGTCCTTTACTGTGAAGATATCAAATTTATCATTTAATTCTTCCCAATGATGGCCATTCAATTACATTTTTATGTAACTGATCCCTGTGACCTCAAATGAGGGTCAAGGTCATTTATGCGAACAATCCTGATTTCCTATTTCCATCAACTCTATGGTCAACAATCTTGAGTTGTAGCTTATCAGGCCATTTATTTGAAACATTTCTCAAAGAGGTTATCTAAAATATATAGGTTTGTAAAGTTATTGAATATTAATTATTACACACATATATGGTTGCTCATTTCTGGGTAAATATGGAATGTACAAACCTTCCCACCATTCGAGGAAACAATAAGGAGGCAGTGAATAATGCCATCAGTCCAAATGCAATCACATCGTCAATCTTCATACGGATAGGTGGCGCCACACTGGTGATAAACTCCGGGCCAGTATAGGAGAGTACACCCATCAACATGGAAATCAGGATCAAGGGAAGGATTGACAGTAATCCAGTTGGGGGCTCCTACGGGTGTAAAAACAAAATACTGTGTGTGAGGCTCCTACAGGGAGAGAAAACTATAGATATCAAATTCTAAATTAATTTGGAAATGGGGGGGGCGTTGGTTTAAAGTTTGAAACAAACTCTTAAAAGAAAACATAATAAAATATGTATGAGGCTCTTGCACGAGAAAACATGTAATGAACAAGAGGCCCATGGGCCTTGACAGTCATCTGACATAAAATACAAGATTTCAAATTTTGAACTTGAGAAGAAGTCAAAAATGATTTTAAAGATTGCCGCCATGCTGGATTTCGGACCAACCCGAAATTAACAAACTTTGGTCAGGATCATGTCACGATCATTTCAGGTAAGTTTCAGGTCAATGAGACAAGTAGAACTTGAGAAGAAGTTGAAAATGTTTACGAAAGACGCCGGACGACACCGGACAAAAGGAGATTGCAATAGGTCATCTAACTGAAGGGTCACTGAGCACATCTGTGCTCTTGACCTTCTTTCCTTTCTTTTTCTTATTCATTTGAAAACAATTTTTAAAACATTGTTTTCATTTTTTTGTGTTGATAAATGATTATCTATGTTCTCACCGCGACATCGTCCAGCAGGTCCTGTAACTGCTGTTGTTTATCAGGGTTGAGACTGCCCACATCTTCCTCCCCAAGGGTTTCTTTAAGGCGTCTCAGCAGCTCCTCTTCATCCTTACTCTTGTCTTTAATGTCCTCGGCCAGACTATTCTCTCTCTCCTCCCCAGTGTTTTCCTTGTCCGTGCTCTCTTTGGTGTCATCCTGTTCATCATCTGTCTCCTCTTTCTTGGTTATTTCTTTATTTTCGTCCTCCCGAGCAGAGAGCGCTACCCAAAGAGCGATTGCTTACACCAATATCAGGAAGAATAACTAACTGCAATATTTTACTTTTACAGGATACCACTTATTTAGCACATAGTATACTGGGTAACGTTAAATTCTTCTGGCTGTTTGTGTCGAGCGACAAACCATAAAAATAAAATACAACAGGAAGCACAACAGATGAAAATCTAGAAAATGTCTGTAAGACATAAATGCCCCCTCCGCCAAGTGTAATTAGTTTCCATGTTGAATCAGTGGATGATTTTCTATATATAGCATAAAGTGTGACTTTGGCCTTGACCTTGGGCTATTCCTGAAAGAGTGTCATAGGTTGAAACCATGAAACTAAGAACCCAGTAACTTACATCATTAAGTATACTATCAGTATACTATCTCCATTGTTACAAAAAATTTGTCTCAAAGATGCTTGACTAAAGTTTTACTCTTGTTTTCAAATATCCCGTGCTTGTTTGAGAAAACAATTTGTCACATATTTCTCAGCCAGAACACTAAATAATACTCTTTGATGTGTTCTAGTTTTCACGTAAAACCGAACAGAGAATTAATTAACTGTACAGGGGGTGATTAAAGTGATTCAGGACAGCAGACAAGACAGGACAACATGGTTAACAATATACATCCCAACAACCCCATTTCTTGACAAAACTGCACACCATTGAAAAGGATATTTTGATGAGACCAGCAGCACAGATCAGACCGAATGGAGGCATGTAGATACCAATGGAGATGTAATTGGAAGTTGTGGGAAGAATGTAGAAGAAGAAAGATTGATGAAATCGTTCAAGTAGATTGTTTAGACTTCTAAACACTCCTTCAATTACCCTGGAAATAAAAACATACACGATTTATCCTTCAATTTGTTTTATTCCTGTCTGCATTTTCAATGTAAACCAGATTTCTCATTTGTACAATTTCCTTTCAGAAATTTGGTGACTGAAACAAATCTGCTATCATCAATCAAATCATTGCTAGGAATTACATTAAGGACGATAAAGAATGGTTAAAGTGTTAAAAAATAAAAGATTAAAAACCAAAGTCTGCTTTTGAAAAGTAGATTGCCACAAAAATGTTGTGATGTTTGTTTGTCTGTTTGTTTAGGATTTACAATTTTGAAAAAGCAGGAAGAATCACATGATGATGGTGTTCATGAATAATAGGGCCACTGATGGGAACATTTATAGTGCTATCATGCTGAAATGTCTAAACATTGACATAAAAGAATGATAATGCACCCGTTCAGTGTCCCTGTGCATCCCATTCACTGTTGAGTGATGAACAGAAAGCATAAAGATCTGTTTATTAATTAATTCTTTAATTTGTCATTTTGCTAGGTTACCACGCTTAACCTTTCTTCACTGGGTGGATATTTGAAAGGTCCAAAAGTGATGTAGTATCAAGGGCCAGGGGAAAAAAAGGTCTTTAGCAAAGAGAAGAAACATAACAAATTAAATATTGTCTTTTATAATCATGCCATTTGTATAATTCTTACATTTTACCTGCAGGGCAGCTGTGATATGTAAAGTTGGTCATCAAAAAAAAGTTGGTTGAACGTATCTATCTTTGGAAAACTGAACTGACAAAATTTCTTATTATTCATGAATTCTATTTAAAGGATGATGATTGAGTTAAATCCTAATGGCTTTAATCTAGGGAGATTTTTATGCTGATTACATTTCTGTATGACATTACCTTCCAGCCTTTTCAAGACCTCTAAGTTGACCTTTCTTTGCTGCGATGCCCTCTAGTGTCAGAGCCTCGATGTGATACCTAAGGAAAAGACCATGGTTACCGGAGCTGATACCACTTGCCTGAGTCCACATCATCTGCATCATATTACTCAGAGAACTTCGGTAGCCTGGTAATGTGTTCCACAGAAATGGGTCATTCTGGTGAGAGAAAACAAAAGAGGCCTATGGGTTTAAACAGTCATCTGAGTTTTAATACAAATCTCATCTGTTTTTATTGTTGTAACCCAAAATGGTGATGATAATGTTGACAGAAGTTTTAGTACATACATATATGTAATGCCAACATATTAAAACGAAATTGCTGATAAATTGACAATTCTTTTTATAAAATAAAATTCTACGTTTACTTGGAATCACTGTGATTAGAGAGCAGTTTGATGGCATTAAGATTAGGATGCTTACCCACTTCTGACATCTTAAATGTAGGGCTCAGAATTTTTTTTTATAACAAGAGTACCGCAAAGTGGAACAAAATACGCCAGTGAATATCCAAAACAGCAAAGGGGAATAACTCTTATTGAAATCATCTAATCAAAACCCCGTTCAGGAAAACACAATTTCATATCATGGTGATCAAGCCAACCAAGGTTCATAAAGATCGGCTGAAAAATGTAGGAGATCTCCGGACAAGATTTCTATAGTGAAATAAACAAAGGGGCCTAACTCTTGTTCAAATTGTCTAATCAAAACCCCGTTCAGGAAAACACAACTTCATATCATGGTGATTAAGCCTACCAAGTTTCATAAAGATCAGCTGAAAAATGTAGAAGGAGATCTCCGGACAAATAAAAGTTTATGCCGGACAGACGGACAGACAGCGCCATACCATAATACGACCGTCTTTCGACAGGCGTATAAAAATCGTCCTTTTTATCAGCCCTATGTTTAAGATGTCAGGAGTGGATAAGTATCTTAATTACAATAACATCAAACTGCTATCTAATGACAACAATGCTTACGGTTGAATTATTTCAAACAAAAAATTATTTCACACAGAAAATTATTTCATATAGAAAATTACATAAAAATTAACTAAAATTACTTTAAATTTTCTCTCTATTATGATGAAAAAAGGGGACCATGGTTTGACAAAAGTTTTGGTTTGAGTGGCCTTAATAACGTAAATTCAAGATTTGACCTGATATGGTCGATTACAAAAAATTCCAGCTGAGCTGGTACTGAGTTGAGTTATTGTGCCAGATCTCAAATGTAACACACCCATACCATATCAACAAATAAGACACAAGTGTGTGTATGATAGAAAAATAATTTATCTTTTATCTCCTAAAAAATGTGTTTTATGTAATAGAATTTGACACATATGTGTATTGTATGTGTTAAATTCTGACAGGATACCAGTCTTTAATAAACTCTCTTATGACATATAGAATCCTACATATTTACTCAAAGTTGTGTTACAGTGAGTTTTCTTATGACATATAAAATCCTACATATTTACTCCAAGTTGTGTTACAGTGAGTTTTCTTATGACATATAGAATCCTACATATTTACTCAAAGTTGTGTTACAGTGAGTTTTCTTATGACATATAAAATCCTACATATTTACTCAAAGTTGTGTTACAGTGAGTTTTCTTATGACATATAGAATCCTACATATTTACTCCAAGTTGTGTCACAGTGAGTTTTATTTTTACGTTGAGAAAGTTGATTATCAGCCTATTATTTGAGTTTTTTTCCCTCTTAATATCAACTTTAAATTATAGCTTATATCAATCACTCTTGGGGAAAACCCACATGGTCGGCCAGGTGACGTCATACATTTTAACGTAGGAGTGGGCACCAAACCCCAGTCTAGGTACCAAACCCCAGTCTAGATGAAATGGAAATGCGTTACAACTGTTCCACAGTGGTACAAAGTTACACGATGTTCTATGACTGACAAGTGAAAATTCTGACCAAAGAAATACATCTGAGATCAGCCAGAGGCTTTACCTGCTTATGAAGAGTAACATCAACACCTTCCCTCTTACACAACCTAACCACCAGGTTAAAGAAGTCGAGATTTGGCAGTTGGCCATTTAGTCCTTCAATCTTCACATTGTAACTGAGAATGTTTCCAGCAGGGATTTCCAGGTTCAGAGCTGCCTGAATCTGACCACTGTGACCCATCAACTCACCCGGCTGTATATCTATACAAATAAAGTTACAATATTATTTTCTTAAAATATTTCAATCTTTACTGACTTTTCATTTTTTTGTATTTGTGTGTAAATAACACTGAAATTATCTCTAAACTATTCTGCAAATAAGTATTTAAAAAATTATTACAACAATGCAGAATATCAATAACAACAATCACAGATCAAGTTGGATCTTAGTACATTTTTGAACCTGATGAAGAACGTAAAGTTCTGGGCGAAACTGGTCTATATACAAATAAAATAAACACCAACTTATTCTGAACGTGTTGCTATTGATGTCCTACGTAATTTGTCTCTATTCCTCGATCACCTTGCAAACTGGGTGGTATCCAAGTGACAAGTATCATGAACACTCTGAATCTGCACGAAAGTAAAGGTGTTGTCTTCATTCCTCAGTGAGTATGATAATATCAACTTAAAACATTGATAATACATATATAGATAAATGTCTTTCTCAGCCTGAAGTTAAAAGTAAACCTGTATTTGTAATCAAGTCATAAAAAATTCCGAGACATCAATCAGAACCTGCTGACCTCAGAACCTGAGTTAAACACAACTTTGTATTGTTGATGTGCGACTTACTGAGAACCTGAGTTAAACACAACTTTGTATTGTTGATGTGTGACTTACTGAGAACCTGAGTTAAACACAACTTTGTATTGTTGATGTGTGACTTATTGAGAACCTGAGTTAAACACAACTTTGTATTGTTGATGTGCGACTTACTGAGAACCTGAGTTAAACACAACTTTGTATTGTTGATGTGCGACTTACTGAGAACCTGAGTTAAACACAACTTTGTATTGTTGATGTGCGACTTACTGAGAACCTGAGTTAAACACAACTTTGTATTGTTGATGTGTGACTTACTGAGAACCTGAGTTAAACACAACTTTGTATTGTTGATGTGTGACTTACTGAGAACCTGAGTTAAACACAACTTTGTATTGTTGATGTGCGACTTACTGAGAACCTGAGTTAAACACAACTTTGTATTGTTGATGTGTGACTTACTGAGAACCTGAGTTAAACACAACTTTGTATTGTTGATGCGAATGCTGAGATCAACAAATTTTAAAGGAAATTTATGACCTACATTCAGCTTCAATGTCATGGTAACCATCCAACCACGCCTGAATGCCGATCTGTTCATGGTCCGTAAACAAGAAAATGATATCTTTGGCCCAGTAAGTCTTCTCTGAAATAAAAACCATTGACAATGGTATGTAAAATAGACTCTGAGTCAACAAAGCTAATTTAGTTTTAAAAGCAAAGAGAGACAAAAAATGTGTTAGCTATACATCATTTTATACAGAAAACTTTTCAAAACTTTTTAAAACTTGTGGGTATGAACCCTGTATTGTCCAACTACTGATGTTACTACCATACATATGTATTTACACATAGCCTGTGATTGTGGGAAGGGCTTATTAAAGCACAATAACATAGCCCTTATCTGCCTATTTACCATAACCACAACAGATGTGGATTGGCTTGTTTTCAAGCAAATACAGTACATAGCTGTACATACGTCTGAAGAACCTTGCTATGGCCAGCATGACTGCGATGCCCCCTGTTGTCGATGTCAGGTCCGATTCCTTCGCCCTCAGTGGCGATGACATAACCAGGGCTTCGTTACTTGCTGCCCTTGGAGCACGCAGAATGCCATACACATTCTGTCCTGGGACCATCTGAAACACCATATAAATATTTCTCCACCACTGACTTTGAAGTACCTATATCCACCGCTGACATTAAAGTGAAGGTCACGGTGCCCTTACTGAGGTACAGTATAAAAGGTAAAGGTCATATGGACCTAATTATGCTACGCTGTACAAGGTGAAGGTCATTTGGACCTAGTTATGTTACACAGTAAAAGGTGTAGGTCACATGGACTTAGCTTTTCTTCACTGTTCAAGGTGAAGGTCATATGGACCTAGTTTTTCTTCACTGTTCAAGGTGAAGGTCATATGGACCTAATTATGCTACACTGCATAAGTTGAAAGTCATATGTACCTAATTATCACAATAGAGAACTGTGTGCAAATCTATTACATGTTAAGATAATAGGAGTTAGTTCCCCTTGTAACCTCAATGGATTTTTCTATTTTGCAGTATAATTCTGGATCTTAAGCTTGACAAAGGTTTACTCCTTGTCACACAATAATGTATTCATAACAGAAATTAAGAGTTTCAAGCCTGATATTTCAAAGTCCAGAACAAGAACAAGAATATTATCATTATTTCAAGAGATATATTGGGTTCCCAAAGGGAAAGCATGAGTCCTGGACTCTGTATATCTGTGTCCTAAAAATCACTTAGTTTCTGTGTTTGTACACAAAGTTGATTCCACTACATTTTTTTTTTATTTCATACATCTTTGAATTTTAAAATTTCTGAATTGCCACAAAGTAAGTACACTTTGACATGTTAGTAGTTAAATCTTCAGAAACAGAAAGTAATGTCACAATTCTAGACTTTCTTGTGTAATAGTACTTACCCTGGTGACTTAATGTTTGAATCATAAAAAAATAATTTTACTGCAAAATCATTCATTTTTGTGGTGGATTTATTTTCAATCGTTTTTAGTAGAATTATTGAGCTATACTTATTCATGAAATCAAGCATCCTGAAATAATCATAAAATTTTTGAAACACCATGAAAAATGAACCCCACAAAAGTATAGGAATTTACAATATCTTATTTGAATTCAATGCAACACTGATGTTTTATATAAAGATAATTTCTGTACATGTACCAGTAGCCTAAAATATGGATATGGGCTTATTTCAAACAAGATTGTCTATGTCACATGTAATATTTTAATCTGATATGGTGATATAGAAGTTCCACAGCTACACATTTCACCAGTAAAAACTTATCAGTCATCCTCAATACTCCAGGGTTTAAGATCGTTTTCACTCTCTGCAACCCTGGAACATGTCATGGCAAAATTGAAGGTTCCATGTGTGACACCTTCTGGACAAGAGGAAAAGACTAGTTTGATCCTTTGTTGTACATCAAACAAATCTTGAGATCTCGAAACAGTACATTGTAATGACTTTGAAGTTGGGTGTCGCTTCTTTGTAATCTTCAAAAGGAGCGTATCATCATATGATTGCTCATTTTTTTTCCTCCTGGAACCAATCAAATTACTTTGATTTCAATTTTGCCATGACATCTTCCATGTTGCAGAGAGTAAACCCTGGAGTATTGAGGATGTAGTGATCGTAACCCCTGGATTATACAGGATGTAGTGATCGTAACCCCTGGAGTATACAGGATGTAGTGATCGTAACCCCTGGAGTATACAGGATGTAGTGATCGTAACCCCTGGAGTTTACAGGATGTAGTGATCGTAACCCCTGGAGTTTACAGGATGTAGTGATCGTAACCCCTGGAGTTTACAGGATGTAGTGATCGTAACCCCTGGAGTTTACAGGATGTAGTGATCGTAACCCCTGGAGTTTACAGGATGTAGTGATCGTAACCCCTGGATTATACAGGATGTAGTGATCGTAACCCCTGGAGTATACAGGATGTAGTGATCGTAACCCCTGGAGTATACAGGATGTAGTGATCGTAACCCCTGGAGTATACAGGATGTAGTGATCGTATCCCCTGGAGTATCGAGGATGCTTATCAGTAAGTTATATTTACCTTATCTTTGGTAATCCCGAGAGGGTAGCGGATGCTGTAGTTATGGATGTAGGTATCCAGGCCTATGGATCTCAGCTTCTCATAAACCCACTCTCTTGGTACCTTCCTATATAAATACAAATAAACACACTTTCACTCATAACAGTTATTGATGCCACCAACTTTAGATTTTAATTTATGATGTACAGGTCGTCAACGATATATTTTTTCATTCTTCCGTTATCATATTTAATAAGTCAGAGCTGTGCATATATTAAGCAATACTTTTATATCGTCCTCTAATAAGACCACCCCTTTAAGTGAAAAACCAAGTAGTGGTCTTGTGATATTGTTGAAATAAGTCTACTCCCTGCTTTAAAGATATGTTGGTCCTCTTGGCTTAATGTAGGATAAACTTATTCGTGTAATAAGCCCACCCCTGTCTTTAAGATGTCTTGGTCCCGTGGCTTATTGTAATATAAACTCATAGTCTTCTTTATTTTATTTAATCATCATCTCAAAATCATTTTGTCATTAACTGTACCATTTGTAATTCTTCCTACATGATTTACCTGGATTTCATATGTTAGCGAGGAAAAAATTCAATCCAAATAATATGTTTCACCCTTAACAGATGCACCAGAGATGCCTCAGTTCATTTTCAATATGTGAGTTTAAACGTCTAAAATACATATATATAAATACTCTTAACAGTTACATTTTTTATGGACTCATAAGAATTCATAACAAGAGGCCCATGGGCCTTAACGGTCATCTGACATAAAATACAAGATTTCAAATTTTGAACTTGAGAAGAAGTCTAAAATGTGTTTTCAAGATGTCGGCCATGTTGGATTTTGGACCAACCCAAAATTAACAAACTTTGGTCAGGATCACGTCAGGATCATTTCAATTAAGTTTCAGCTCAATGAGACTTGTAGAACTGGAGAAGAAGTTGAAAATGTTTACGACGGACGACGTACGACCCTGCGATCAGAGGACCTAAAACTTATCAAAATTCTTACCTTGCATCTTTTTTAAGCTCAGCTCTATATTCTTCTATGTAAGTCTTGATATCTGCACTTGAGTAAAACTCATTTTCCACAAGACCTGGACAAGAAAATAGTATTATGTGTTACTACATCTCCTAGCAAGTCATACTTTAAATTATACTCACCAGAAGGTGAATATGACATATAATTTTCTTAAATTCACTTTCATCATTTCTTTATTACAGAATATTTATTTAGGGCTAAACTCTTGAAATTTCACCTCTGACCAAACCAATTTTGTAAATAGAATAACCTCAATATCCTGCCACCCATTGCCATCAATTCTCTTAGAACAGGATTTCCACACTGAAATGCACCCGTTGTAACACCAAACACATACTTCCATTGTCACAATGCTTTGAAATCCCTCTGTAGGCTCCTGCCAACTATGCCACAATGTTTAAGAAAATTAATTGTGAATTGTACCAACTTCAAAAATGATGGTGTCCTCTGCAGATCAGTTGTAGAATGGTATTTCATTTTTATTTTATTTTTTGTTTTTTTTTTGGAGATTTTCACATTAATATGTAACATCATCATCATCATCATCATCATCATCATCATCATCATTATCATCATGACATCAATACTTCATCATCAACATTCTATAATACACGTTAATCTGGAGGGTTTGTAAACTTATCAGAAACTTAGGAAAAAGGAAGGGACAGGAAAAGAGAAAAAAACAATAATCAATCTCATGTAAGGAATCAGATTTAGACAGAAATATGTATTTGTAAGATGAGGGTAAATAGCATTGCACATATTTTTTTTTAAAAATATATGTGGTGCAAAAACTTCTGGATCTCGTTTATTTAGCCAGATATCTAGCAGAAACAAAATTTCCCCTTTTTTACAGGTTTTTGTGAATCAAAACAAAAAGAATCTTAAAAAAGGAGTTTTGTGAATTTGGCTTTCAACATTGTACTTTTAGTTGAATTCTGATAACGAAAAAAAAACTCACTGCATATAACTTTGTTTACTCATTAGACCATCGGTCAGTCTGGTGGTTAGATTACACCACTATTTTAGATACATCAACAGAAAACTATACCTAATAAATAACTTCATTCCAAAGGATATTTCAAAATAAGAAAAATCGACCATATAGATGTTTTATATTACCTGGTAAAAGTGCATTTTCTGAAAAGTAATTTTTAGCATTCATGGGGGGATAGGCAAGAGCCAGGAACCAGGCTACTCCAGCCACATAGCAGAGGAAACAGATCTTATTGTTGTATTTGGCAATCGTATCAACAATTTTCTGTCGCTGTTGTGGGTTGGAAAGTATACCCATTGTTCTTTTCTCTGAAAATATATAAGAGTGTTTGTTATTACAAATACGTTTCAAAATGTACACAACAAAATCAAGTTCTTCAAAAACTTTGTATGTAATGTATGCACATGCAGTACACATGGTAAGGAAATACACTGTGAGAGTAGATTGTCACATGGATGTAGGGGATTAAGTATGGCCCCTATTTCAACATATATGTTTCAAGTGGCCAACATCGACGAGACAAGTGTTAGGGATTATAATTATATGACAAGTGCGAAAGTTCACTACTGGATGTCGTAGTGATACTCAGTTGTTATGTCTACATTCTAGGTTGTACAAGCAATGTTTATCTTTTAGATGCTGTAGCTGATCAAAAATCAATATTCACCAGCTAATTACTGAAAAAATAAAATTTGACATGTGTTGTTTTAACTAATAAGAAAATCAATGAATCAACATATATGCAGTCTGTGACTGAAACTAATTAAGAATGGCAATGAAAGCTCCTGAGAAATGTGTATATATGTCTGAAACAAAAGCACGGCCATGCCAAACTTGAGATGTGAATTGGAATTAAAATCAAGCATAATTAAGGCAAAGTTTCCAAGTAAGGTTACAGAGTAAATGTTTTAAACAAAAGCTATTCATATGTACTGCTACCTGTACCAGCAATATTGATATAATTATATATACTGTACTTTCTGTAAGCTCTTCACTCCTCACAGTTAATGATGATGCAAAAATACCATAACATTTTCCCTTTCCTTAATTTGTTTGACATACTTTTATTTCTTATCTCACTTAAAGATAATTTTACACTACGTTCCATTTCTTAGTTTAATTGCAAGCAAAGTTATGCTCCTGGCATGAAATTTTAACAATGGGCAAAAACTGTAATTAAGGGATTACTTATAAAGAATTTGGTATACTGCATATTGCCTTTGTATGACAAATTTATAAATCAAGGTTCAAGACAAAGTTATGCTCTAGACATGAAAGGGAAAATGGACAATGTATATGCTTATTCCTTAAAAAAACAATTGGTGAGCATAAAAACTTGCAACAGAATTATTCAGTTTAAAGACAGTTCACCTTTTTTGTCATGAATTTAAAAAGAACTTCGAGTGTTACATACGATCCTGCATTTGAGTAACTGTTTGTATGATGAATCAATGTCGGACTTTTACTCGAATACAGGACAACCGCCAAAAAAGATTGGTGGATTTTTTTGTGTATGATGACATAGTCAATAAACAGGTATATAAGATTAGTAATGAAAATCAAGCTTTATCATGTAAGGGATCCGGTCCGAAATTGGACCCACAGCTTGATTGATTGATTGATTGGTTTTCCGTCTCCATGACTCCTCCCGTGTCAGGGCATCGATTTGCCGGGACGTCAATGTCCCGAAGACGTGCGGACTCACAACGAAAACGTGGCCTTGTAATGGCGTAGAAAAAAGACAATAAACTAAAAAAAATAAGCCATTCACCGACTCAACTGAAGAAAATGGAGCACCCTGCAAATAAGAAAGCTCTATATCATGATGCTGTCTTTTGTGATCGCTTACAATATTAAAATGCCTTTTCCCAGCTCTTTTTCGTTTCCCGTTTGTATACAATCTGCGTCAAATTAGTTCTTAGATGGACGTTTGTGACACGTAATGCATACTTGCTATTCAAACGTTTAAGACACCGTCATAAAATATACCCTATTCGGAAAGTGTTACACATGAAAATCTAATTAAAAATCAGAATTATGAAAATATGATTGAACACTGCATAGAGAAACATAGAATAAATAACTAATTTCTTTATGTATAAAAAAGTGAATTTTAAATTTTCCAAAATGAAGGTTGTCAATACCTTTTACATCTGAGGTAAAAAAGCAACATGGCGGCTGCCGTAGTCTGCAAGGTGCCGAAACGGGCACTTTTACGTGTCAACAGCAATGTAATAACACAACAGGTATGGTTTTAGTGTATCTTTGATAACAAAAACCTATATTGCGAATGTTTTCAATTCATTTATTAGTTGAAAGATATATAGTTCTTTTAGATTCCGTAGTCTTAACTTTGGTGTCTCCTACGCCAGTTCGTGTCAAGGGCATACAAATTTTACCGTTACACAATCAACTTACACAACATTTTTTCCTAACCAAACACTAAAACTAAGATGCAGAACTTATTCATCTATGTCCAATTCTTGCATATCCCTGTGATTATGCCTTTATTTAATAACTTATCACGAATATCATTGAAATTGATTGGAAATCGAGAAAAAAATCATTTTCATGGTTATTTTTCATTTCGCTGAAAGTTGTCGGAAATTATCGAAACGTTCTCTAATTTGGAGGGAAAAGGGTTTGTTAGATGGATCTCAGCAGATGGCATTTATGTCTTCTGTAAGATCACTCCTGACTTTATAGCTACACCATCTATCCGGTATTTAGGGGGGTGTCTTCACCTAATTCAAGCATCCAAAGACTTTTTCATGTTTTCCTACTTGCTAAGGGCCATAGTGGACTGGAACAGCTTACTCCCCTCTCTGTAAGATACAAACAGTCTTTGAGACATTCAACAGGTTGGGTACAAGACAATTCCTGCATTTGAGAGATAGTTACCACATTGACTAATCAATTAGCTGCTCAAATGCAGAGTCATTTCTTTTAAAATTGCAACAAAAAAGGTGTCAGATTATTTTACATGGCCCATCCAATAACCAATACAACATTGTACATTTTTTCACAAGTTGTTAATTTAGTTGTCTTACAATTTGTGAAAATCACAAACATTATCACCTCTGTTGTTTATCAACTGCTTATAGTGTGGTTAAGAATAAAAGACAGGTATGTTCATGCTCACCTATGACAATTGTACTAAATATTCCACTGGCTATACACTGTATTCAATAGAGTAAAAAGTCGGTGATATAAATTGTTTTAACATCAAGATAGATAAGGGAAATGAACATCCCCTTTCTGTAATAAGAAGGAGTAAAAATACACTGCCCTAGGCAGCATTCAAACAGCCCTTTGTTCTGTACATTTCCAGTAAAGAGAAATTCCCACCATGTGAGGCTAGTAAGGCAAACCTATTCTCTTAACTTCAACACTACTCTTTCCTTCACGAAGTCTTTAACCCTGAAACAACAACAATCCATGCAGGTTCAATATCTCCAAGGAATTATCATAATCTCCTATAACTTCTACCCTTGAATTGGTCAATGGCAGCAAATCTGTAAGAGGAAGGAGTAATAAAAAAACCCACCCTGCCATTGCGGGGCTTTGAACTAGTGACCATACAGTCTTTGGAGAAATTCCCTGTAGCTGGCTTATGCTCGATCTCCACAGTTACGACACCCTTTCCCCAGTTTCTCATGGCAAAGAGATTTGTCTCTTATAGAAAAGAAGTTTATAGGTTATTTTAGTTAAATATTAATCAAATTATGAAGTCTGGAAACTGTCTTCCAAAAAGATTCAATATCTGGACATCAATTTGTGATAATTCATATTTTATGCCTCAGTGTGATCTGTGAACTCTCTGTATAAGTCAACTTGTTACAAATTTTATTGACACAGGTTTTGTTTTTGGAGAAATAATATATCAACATCAGCATTAATACTGACTTCACACTATCATCAAATTGAATTGGATGTCATATGCTGTGGATTATACTGGCAAGATATTGATGATTATAGGCCTTAAATTCTGTTAAATAATGTCTCTAGTCAGAACAGATAATTGATGTATTAGTGCTGGAACGGGTATCCGGATCCTGATTGTGCTATCCTTTTAGTATTCCAAACATCGCCATAGTTTTACTATATGGCAGGCCCCTTTATCAAAATCTGTGACTAGTGCCAAACTCCATGTAATCAAATATAAAGATGTTACATGTTCAAATGCTACAGGTGTATTTGTTGTCTTTATTAAGATTATCCAGAAATTGTGGGTCGCAAAAGAGATGCACATTAGCAATCTAAACAGGCAGAGTTACAAAAATGTCAGAGTTAAACATGAAATGCCAGTTAATCAGTTACTGTTCGGTTTGTCCGAGAAGGTTAACCAGTTAATATTTTGCTAACCGTTTCAGCACTAATATATATATATATATATTAAAATAGATAAAATAAGTAGTAAATATATGTATACCATTATCAACAGAATTTCCACTTAACATTTAAGTTTGAATTACTTCTCAGGGAAAATGTCGACGAATAGATGCCTAACTCATTAATTGGGCTAGACATTGAGATGTAAAAAGTTTGAATATATTTTGAAAGAAAGAAAATCTTTTCTCCTTTGCAGGCTGAAACGTCAACTTTTAAGGAATATGTCCAGAAGAAGTCGGTGAGTGGCTCAATTTATAGCATTTATGATGTATTTATCAAACCGATATGGTTTACAGAGACTACATTAATTTTCTTATTTTTTTGGCTTATAAAAATTCACAAGTATGAGTATTTTTATGCATGTAATTGTATTGAATCATTTATTTCATACAAGTGATTATTTTCATGGGTAAGTGAATTGATCTTCTGTGACAGATCCTGGTGAAAGCGGCTGTTGGTTCAGCTGTTGTGGGGACTATTGGAGTAGGTGCTGCTGTGTTTGCTGGTGTGTCTGCTTCTGCTCATGGTGTACATCCCCCTACTTATGCCTGGGGACACAGACCCTTTCTAGCTTCTCTGGATATGGCAAGGTAAACATTATTCTGCCTGAATTTGACAATAGCACATACATGGGTAGGAAAAAAGAATAATGTTTTCTCTAAACTGGCCATACATGTGATGTGAACATCACATCAAGTGGAAACAAGGTTAAACTTGTGTAAAATATTAATTTCAAAAGAAATCTGCACATTGCTCGGCAATGTCGTCACTAGTACTTACTGCACTCTGCCAAATCTGGTCCCATGTGCCGAGGGTCACTCAGTCTAGAAGTGTTAACAACTGATAGATGAACTGATGCTTTTGTTTATCAGAATAACAAAGCTATTACCGATATTTAAACAATACTACATTAATATTTCCAATGTCCATTTCATCAGTGTAAAGTTGACTTATTCTTTAACTCATGCAAATAAGATTAGAATCTGCAGCTTTTTCTAGCTCTGCATAAGTACTTTATGTCATTTTGCCTATAGCCCATATGATAAGGTTATGAGGTATATAAATGAGAGATGTGTTTACCTTTTCAGTGTACGACGAGGCTATGAGGTGTATAAACAGGTGTGTGCAGCCTGTCACAGTATAAAACACATGCGGTATCGATACATGACAGATGTATTCATGTCACCGAAGAGAGCTGCTCAAGAGGCATCCGAGGTCAGTTCAGCTTCACACACAGTATGCATACAACTCAACACACACAACTTAACACACCATTTTTATAATTATGTGCATTTTAACACACATTACACACAGTATTACACACATAGCTGATTACACCATATACAACTAACACATAGATATAAATCAACACACAGTAAATACAGCTGAACACACATTACACACAGTAGTACACACAGAGCTGATTACACCATATACAACTAACACATATATATAAATCAACACACAGTAAATACAGCTGAACACACATTACACACAGTAGTACACACATAGCTGATTACACCACATACAACTAACACATAGATATAAATCAACACACAGTAAATACAGCTGAACACACATTACACACAGTAGTACACACAGAGCTGATTACACCACATACAACTAACACATAGATATAAATCAACACACAGTAAATACAGCTGAACACACATTACACACAGTAGTACACACAGAGCTGATTACACCACATACAACTAACACATAGATACAAATCAACACACAGTAAATACAGCTGAACACACATTACACACAGTAGTACACACATAGCTGATTACACCACATACAACTAACACATAGATATAAATCAACACACAGTAAATACAGCTGAACACACATTACACACAGTATTACACACAGAGCTGATTACACCACATACAACTAAAACATATTATAGGTATAAATCAACACACAGTAAATACAGCTGAACACACATTACACACAGTAGTACACACAGAGCTGATTACACCATATACAACTAACACATATATAAAATCAACACACAGTAAATACAGCTGAACAAACATTACACACAGTAGTACACACAGAGCTGATTACACCATATACAACTAACACATATTGTAGATATAAATCAACACACAATAAATACAGCTGAACACACAGTATTACACACACAGCTGATTACACCACATACAACTAACACATAGATATAAATCAACACACAGTAAATACAGCTGAACACACATTACACACAGTATTACACACAGAGCTGATTACACCACATACAACTAATACATATTATAGATATAAATCAACACACAGTAAATACAGCTGAACACACATTACACATCGACTTAACACACAGTATGACATACAACTGAACACACCATATACATTTATTCAACTTAACAAGTATGATACAAAAACATGCAGTATTTATACATATTTTACCCAGAGCATACATACATACAGCTTTACACACAGAACACATATATCTTCACATATGAAATTAAGGTTATACATTATTTATTTCACAACAATTGTTAAACAAGTTTGTCCAACTTATCTCAGTCACTCTTGTTGGCCCAGATGGAAGGGTGTGAGTGGTCTTACTGTGGGAGGAAACTAGAGTACCTCAGGGGAAACACACGTGGTTGGGTAGGTGACCCCATACCTTTTCACATTCATTTCAGGAATCAATCCTGGACATTGTGGTGTAAGTCAAATGTGTTACCACTGGGCCACTGAACCACCCCAGATCTCTATAACTTACAGTATATTGACTTAAAACACAGTATCACTAACACACAATAATGTACATACAACTTCACACACAATAAATGTGCAACTTAACACACAGTATCACTAACACAATAATGTACATACAACTTCACACACACTACATGTGCAACTTAACACACAGTATCACTAACACACAATAATGTACGTACAACTTCACACACACTACATGTGCAACTCACACAATAATGTACATACAGCTTCACACACAATACACATGCAACTTTACACACAGTGTACATGCAGCATATATATATATATATATGAATTAAAATCCCACCATACTGTTTATTATACCTGTATATTTGTAGTTAGTTCAGTATTGTGTGTATTGTATCAACAGATTATGACAGTAGATGGTCCAGACAAGGACGGAAACATGTTTGAGCGACCTGGAAAGGTCATTGATCCTTTCCCTGTACCATATGCTAATAAAGAAGCAGCACAAGCAGCCAACAACGGAGCTGCCCCTCCAGATATGTCCTACATTGTGTTGTCGAGAGAGGGAACAGAGGTATCTAATTAGGTCAACATTGTACGGCACAAAATATATAAGTACTTTTCTCATGGTGTAAAAATAATGAACAATTCTGAAATGGATTCTTATTTAATTGACCTGAACCTCTTTGAATTTGATAAGCTAACAATTCAAATTTCAGATATTAAAAGCAATTAAGAAAAAGTGATGCAGACTAATTGGTCCTCATTTTATGATTTGTGGTCAAATGGCTTTTAAAAACAGAAATTTGCACATGGTAAAGATTAGAAAAACATTGATAAACAAAGAGTTATTTGCATTTTCAGGACTATATCTTTTCTTTGTTGACTGGATATTCTGACCCACCAGCTGGACTTGAACTTGGCGAGGGCCAGTATTACAACCCATACTTCCCAGGAGGTGTTTTGGCCATGGCTCCACCTCTTTACAATGACATCATAGAATATGAGGACGGTGAGTGAGATAGACGAGGCCCCTACAAGCTTATCAAGGCCTGTCATTTTGTATTACATTGTCTGGCTTAGAGAACATGGATTTCTGACTTTTGCCTTGAAAAAACATGTTATCACTCTATTTATTAATAAGCCTGAATTTATGGTATTATAACTCTCTGGGATTAGTTTTATAGAATATAAAGTGTTAGTTGAATATGTACAGATACAGTTCAGAAGGGATTAGTAGTCATGGTCTGACACCAATTAGTTTATTGGACTGCAAATCCAAATGGATAAGACAGCAAGATATTTTGTATCTGTAACATAAGTGATTTGCTGCCTACTCACTTTCAATAAGATTTTACAAAAGAACCAGTGAGATGTGACTAGGTACAGAGATCAGCAGAGATGTGACTAAGTACAGAGATCAGCAGAGATGTGACTAGGTACAGAGATCAGCAGAGATGTGACTAGGTACAGAGATCAGCAGAGATGTGACTAGGTACAGAGATCAGCAGAGATGTGACTAGGTACAGAGATCAGCAGAGATGTGACTAGGTACAGAGATCAGCAGAGATGTGACTAGGTACAGAGATCAGCAGAGATGTGACTAGGTACAGAGATCAGCAGAGATGTGACTAGGTACAGAGATCAGCAGAGATGTGACTAGGTACAGAGATGTGACTAGGTACAGAGATCAGCAGAGATGTGACTAAGTACAGAGATCAGCAGAGATGTGACTAGGTACAGAGATCAGCAGAGATGTGACTAGGTATAGAGATCAGCAGAGATGTGACTAGGTACAGAGATCAGCAGAGATGTGACTAGGTACAGAAATGTGACTAGGTACAGAGATCAGCAGAGATATGACAAAGTACAGAGATCAGCAGAGATGTGACTAGGTACAGAGATCAGCAGAGATGTGACTAGGTATAGAGATCAGCAGCGATGTGACTAGGTACAGAGATCAGCAGAGATGTGACTAGGTACAGAGATGTGACTAGGTACAGAGATCAGCAGAGATGTGACTAAGTACAGAGATCAGCAGAGATGTGACTAGGTACAGAGATCAGCAGAGATGTGACTAGGTACAGAGATCAGCAGAGATGTGACTAGGTACAGAGATGTGACTAGGTACAGAGATCAGCAGAGATATGACTAGGTACAGAGATCAGCAGAGATGTGACTAGGTACAGAGATGTGACTAGGTACAGAGATCAGCAGAGATGTGACTAAGTACAGAGATCAGCAGAGATGTGACTAGGTACAGAGATCAGCAGAGATGTGACTAGGTACAGAGATGTGGTACAGAGATCAGCAGAGATGTGACTAGGTACAGAGATCAGCAGAGATGTGACTAGGTACAGAGATCAGCAGAGATGTGACTAAGTACAGAGATCAGCAGAGATGTGACTAGGTACAGAGATCAGCAGAGATGTGACTAGGTATAGAGATCAGCAGAGATGTGACTAGGTACAGAGATCAACAGAGATGTGACTAGGTACAGAAATGTGACTAGGTACAGAGATCAGCAGAGATATGACAAAGTACAGAGATCAGCAGAGATGTGACTAGGTACAGAGATCAGCAGAGATGTGACTAGGTACAGAGATCAGCAGAGATGTGACTAGGTATAGAGATCAGCAGCGATGTGACTAGGTACAGAGATACAGAGATGTGACTAGGTACAGAGATGTGACTAGGTACAGAGATCAGCAGAGATGTGACTAAGTACAGAGATCAGCAGAGATGTGACTAGGTACAGAGATCAGCAGAGATGTGACTAGGTACAGAGATCAGCAGAGATGTGACTAGGTACAGAGATGTGACTAGGTACAGAGATCAGCAGAGATATGACTAGGTACAGAGATCAGCAGAGAGATACAGAGATGTGACTAGGTACAGAGATCAGCAGAGATGTGACTAAGTACAGAGATCAGCAGAGATGTGACTAGGTACAGAGATCAGCAGAGATGTGACTAGGTACAGAGATGTGACTAGGTACAGAGATGTGACTAGGTACAGAGATCAGCAGAGATGTGACTAGGTACAGAGATCAGCAGAGATGTGACTAAGTACAGAGATCAGCAGAGATGTGACTAGGTACAGAGATCAGCAGAGATGTGACTAGGTACAGAGATCAGCAGAGATGTGACTAGGTACAGAGATGTGACTAGGTACAGAGATCAGCAGAGATATGACTAGGTACAGAGATCAGCAGAGATGTGACTAGGTACAGAGATGTGACTAGGTACAGAGATCAGCAGAGATGTGACTAAGTACAGAGATCAGCAGAGATGTGACTAGGTACAGAGATCAGCAGAGATGTGACTAGGTACAGAGATGTGACTAGGTACAGAGATGTGACTAGGTACAGAGATCAGCAGAGATGTGACTAGGTACAGAGATCAGCAGAGATGTGACTAGGTACAGAGATTAACAGAAAGTGACTAGAGTATATGATACACTCAGAAATATATATTTAACTGTGATATTTGTTAATTTCAGGAACACCTGCTACAAAGAGTCAGTTAGCTAAAGATGTCATCACTTTCCTCAAGTGGGTAGGCGAGCCGGAGTTTGATGAAAGGAAGATATGGGCAATCAGGGTAGGTATAAAGTATACAATGATCATGGTGATGTATCTCTGGTTTGAGTTATTACAACTCATACACTCTTTTGGTACTATAGTAATATATCAAACTTCCTGGTCCCTTTGTATTCTTAACAGATTTTTTCTGGGGTCCAGATTGGCAAATACATGCTGATCTTACCACAACAATACAGAGTCTGAGACATGGTCACAATTTCTCAATTGAGGATCGTTACATAAGTTGCCATTATTATTAAGCTCTGTATGTCCTTATATGGATGATGATGATTGACACCATGTGTTATTGTCAACAAATGAGACCATCTCGGAAGTTGAAGCAGGAAGGGTTGTGAATTGGTAATGGAAACAAGTCAAGTGCTTAAAGGGAAAGTCCTTAATTTGAACAGTAGTTAAGCTACATTGTTATTTTTAAATTTTACGAATTGTTTGTTTATCAGTGATAATATTAGCTTGGAAATGTACTGAAAATACATGAACCATATATAAACACTGTCAATATGCACCAGTAATATTTATCCCGAGGGCATAGTCAAAAAAATTAGATGTTTTGTAGTTCAATCATATTCATTGGAGACTTGAGCTGATATATTAATATAAAACTGTGAACCTGTACTTCACTGCTCGTCATCCAATAATAGTTTTATCTTTATAAACTGAAATAGTTTTAAGGAAGGAAAGCCCCTTCAAATAAAGCTAGCATGCCACAGTTTCAACATAACATAAAATTTGTATAAGCTTTTGAATGTGTTGTTTTTATCCATATATTAAAATGAAGTGATGTGTTGTTTACAAAAAGAGATCAAGGTACTGTAGGATATTCAACATCCAGTTAATCTTATCCAAGTAATGGCCTTATATGGTAACCCTGGTAAATACTAGCTGCAATTTATGCCTCAGCCAGAGAGAACTTCTCTTTGGCTTGATCAGTTCAGAGTCTGACTAGCAGGTGGAGGTCCCAGGTTCAAATTGTAGCAGAAATAAGTAATGACCTTTATTTCATGAGCATGGTATTAAAATGTATTTGTCTACATAGACAGATAAGAGTGATACGTTATAAATTGAGTTTACTAGTATAATAAGTAGTGAAACCTGCAGTGATAGCTCCAAACTCTTGTCAGTTGTGTTTGTCAGGGAGCTGAGAAACAGACCAGTCATTACTGGCGTAGTTGTATATTGGAGCGGGACACTTTACCCCTCTGGATGGTATGTGAAGGGTCTCTTTATTGTTCAGTGACGTAGCCACATGTACCAACCGATACAAAGAGACCCACTTCAAAATGACCCTGGTTGGTTATGTGTGGATAAACCCAGTCAACAATTTGATGATAGTCAGTATGTTTAAAGGAGGTTTTATAAATTCTCATATTCTTTCTTTGCAGGCGGTACCACTTTTTCTCATTTTCTCGGTGGTAGTGTACTACTACAAGCGACATAAATTTTCCTACCTCAAGTCCATGGCCCTAACCCTGAAGAAAGAGCCAGTCAAGAAGACAAAGATGTTCCCTACAGAGAAAAATTAGTGACCAGTGGCCAAGCTGGACATGTGTGACAATGGACAATGTGATTTCAGAATATTTAAAAACATCAGTTAGAACAACTTTTCTAAGAGGAAAGCCGATTTTTACGCTTGAAGTCCAGAAAATGTGTATATTAGTTCAAGCATTGAATGAATAAATGTTGATGTCTTATTGTTTTTGTGCTTGGCATTCTTACTGATATTAAAAGAATGTCCTGATTGGTGCCAGACTTTTTCTTATGAATGTGGACTTTGTTTTGTTATATTAGTCCACCATCATCACCAAATGGTGGAATATTCAAATCGCCCTGCAACTGTCTGTAAACCTTTTTGGCTATTGCTATTTCATGAGAAGTACGGGATGGATCTTTATCAAATTGCATATGTAGGTTCCCCTTGGTCTCTAGTTTTGTCCATGTGATTTTGGGACTGATCTAAAAAACGAAATGGCGGACAGACGGCCATCTTCGATTTTTTCAATGAGGTTTGTTATTGCTATTTCTTGAGAAGTACTGGATAGATCTGTCAAATTTCCTATGGTGGTTCCCTTAGGTCCCTAGTTGTGCCCATTTAGTTTTGAAAAATGAAATGGGCGACAGGCAGCCATCTTGGATTAACCTAGTAAAGATTGTTATCCCTATTTCTTAAAAAGTACTGAATGGATATCTCTCACTCCTTGTGCCCGTTTCAGTTTTGAAGAAACAAAATGGCTTCCATGCGGCCATTTTGGATTTGGCAGGTAAAGATCACTATTTCTGCAAAGGAATGTTCAAATGTCTTATTTCTAAGAGCAAAAACGAAAGAAAAGAGAAGGGGAAAAGATCAAACTTTCAAAGAGCAAATGCCAAGATCCCTCTGTGATCTACAATATGCCCTCCACTAGTTTAATTGGCGACCAGATAGTGAAATCTTTCTGTGTATTCCTCATCTGTAGATGGAATACTTTCTGTAAAGAGTGAAACTTAAACCCGTGACCAAAGTTTCCGAAACTTGTTGCACATGATCAGCAATTATTAAGTGATCATGTTTTATTAGCCCATCATCAGATGGTGGGCTATTCAAATTGCCCTTGGTCCGTCGTCCATCCGTCTGTAAACAGTTTTTATCACTTTTTCTTGAGAAGTACTTGATGGAGCTTTCTCAAATTTCATATGTAGGTTCACTTTTGTCCCTAGTTGTGCCAATTTGATTATGATCAGAAAAACAAAATGGCCAACAGAAGGCCACCTTAAATTTTAACCCTGAAAGATTGTTATTGCTATTTCTCAAGAAATGCAACATAGAACTTTTTCAAATCTCATGTGTATGTTTCCTTTGGTCCCTAGCTGTACATGTTTGATTTTGGTACTGATCAGAAAATCAAAATGGCGATCTGGCAGTCATTTTGGATTTCATCTAGAAAAGATTGTTATCCCCATTTCTTTAGAGGTACTAAATGGTATCTCAAATTTCATACATATGTTGCTATTGGTCTCTCCTTGTGCCCATTTGATTTTGGGACTGATCAGAAGGAAAGAAATGGCTTCCAGGAGGCCATTTTGGATTTTGGATTTCTGCATCAAACAGTAGAATTCGTAAATAAAACTAGTCAGGAATGTTCCATGGAGTATCGACACAGTATCGTACAAGAAAAAGAATATTTTGCCATTATTTGTTCAATATCAATTTCTCTCTAGTCTCAGGTTGACATTCTGTAATATTTCATTCTCGACTTAGCTAGCAAAACCTTGACTTAAGACTAGAAATAGTGTAAAATCCTATGTTTTTGTGAGACTGAAATTTCATGGTTTTTATGTTACTTTTGGGAAATACTTCAATGTATAGCACTTGATTTTGTGGTTAAAAAGAATGTGCAAAATTTAAAATTCATGTCGATTTCAAACTGTTGATGGACAAAGACTCATAGATTAAGAATACCGAAGAAATCAACGAAAATCAAACCACCACAAAAATTATGGATTTTACAGCAGGATTTGATGCGAGTAAAATACAAGAAACATAAGGGAGTTAAATATTGAATTTTATTTGCAGATTATTTACCAATATACATTTGTTTATCACTTTGGGACTTCTTTAAGAGTATAACTATCCAGTAATAAGCCCCTGTCTCGTAATAGCCACTTTGGGACTTCTTTAAGAGTATAACTATCCAGTAATAAGCCCCTGTCTCGTAATAGCCACTTTGGGACTTCTTTAAGAGTATAACTATCCAGTAATAAGCCCCTGTCTCGTAATAGTCACTTTGGGACTTCTTTAAGAGTATAACTATCCAGTAATAAGCCCCTGTCTCGTAATAGCCACTTTGGAACTTCTTTAAGAGTATAACTATCCAGTAATAAGCCCATGTCTCGTAATAGCCAATCTTTTATTAACATAAGCTATTTCATTGCTCTTTAATTAGTCCACCCCCTGACAGTTAAGCTAGAATTTGGGTGCTTGCTTGTAGGCTTATTACAGGGTAAAGACACCATTATTACAGATATTGTAAAATAGACTTTTAAGACTGCAGTAAAATTTTAAAGTTACACATGTCCTGATGTGTAACAGATCACAAAAACAAGGATCAACAATACAACTAGACAGACTTGTTTGAACAAGATCAAATATCACATTATTTGCACAAGACAACATTACAGTATTTGCACCATATATTTCTAGAAAGATATTTGCACCATGTCATGCTAGGTGAATGTTTGCATCACAAAATTCCAGACAATTACTTGCACTATAAAAACAAACGCACTCCTACATTGTATCCTTATAAACAGCAGGATAACTACACTGTAAGTTCAAGAAAACAAAGTTTGAATAGATGTTAATTAACACATGTCTGTCCTGTTTTTAATTGTACAAATGTGATTTGTACTAATAATACATAACACCCAAACAAAAGATGTTATATAAATGGCTCACCATGGAATATTGAACAATAAAGTACAACAATCCAAGAAATACATTTTCTTACCAGCACTGAACATCATCCAAACACAAAAATACCTCACAGAATACAGTCATGTATCTGTTTTTTCCTTATTTTTCCTTTTTGTTTTTTTTTTAAACAGTATGTAGTACATGCGCTAAAAAAAAATCTGAAATAAACTTGATACTTAAATATTATTTAGACATATATCTACTTTACAACGTGAGAACACTATTGCAGATCTATTTTGGATGTTACATTGTACAATACAACCAACCTCTGCCATGTTAGGTCATACTACCCAAAACATATTTTTCAATTCCACAATAAATGAACACAATGGAAAAAATACAAAAGTACACACAATGGAATCAGATACACTTGAAAAAGTCCATTTTAACTTCCTGGGGGAGGGATAGAACAAAAATAAACAGTAAATTTGGCATTTCTACATTTTAACTATTGGACATAATACTTATCCTTACCCTTAAAGTTCAAAACTAAACAATACTAGAATATTAGTGATAAAGAAATCCATGATATACAAGGTGAACTCTATATGTTGGTAAATTTTGTGCCACATAGACTTCAACGGCACAATCTAACCATTAGTTTTATATCTAGTCAGTCCTAACAGAAAGATGACAATTCTGGAAACAACCTGTCAAATCCTTAATTTCTTCAGGCCTGACATAAAACAGCAGGTTTAGACAGCTTCAGTGATATCTCTGTGTTTATACTTTTAAGTATGAAATATCTAACTTTGTTGTGGTTTACTTTTTATTGTCTTTTATATCCAAAAAGTTCAACCCTCCCAGTTTTTGACAGTATTCTCCCCAATTTTCACCTCAGGCTGTTTCTCTTTCATCCTCATGGTCAAACCTTGACCTTCAACCCTTGACCTATTTTTAATATTAACATTGTTCACACCTCTTCTCCCCTATTTTGAAGATAGGTACATGGAGATCACATTCTGCATTAACAGGGATACATAACAGATACAATATGGAGTTAGTTTGGTAAAATGTCGTGGTTAACAGCTATAAGATGCCAAAACCTACAACTTAAGTAATGGAACCTTCATGTCAATGTTTAAACAAAGGGAGACTGGAATAAAATATTCAAGAATATAATTTTTATATACAAACAAAACTAACTTCTTGATGAAACTCAATTAGAAATTGCACTCTATTTTCTGCAACACTTAAAACCATTTGAACTTGATAGCTCAAAATTGATCATCTGAACTTTAAGAAAGACATATAAACAAACAAAAAATTGTCAGCCCTCCAAATACGCATCCATCCCTTTTTCAACAATGTAATACAATTAAATATCTTTCAGTTTGTTTCATAATTCTAACAACTGCAATGATATACAAAAACATATTATTGCCATCATCATTTGTTGAATGCTCCTTCTGACTGTTCATGGTTGAAAAGGGCAAAATAGATAGCAGTTGGCTGTTTAAAGTTTTCATCCACTGGAAACCTGATTAAGGTCTATACCCTTATAAACTTGGTTTCATAACATGAACATGTGTGATTGACTTCAGGACTGTTGTATGGGTATTGATTGTCACAGAACTGATCCAAAAAGAAATGAGAAATTGCAACTTCTTAACAAACCCTCAGATTATGTTGTAACAAAATTAAAGGCTTACAGCTAGCCATCAACAGCAACTAAAGAGAATCTATCTGTTAAGTCACTAAAAGTGATTCCTTTTATCTTCTATCAAAGAGGTCAAAGGTATGCAGGATTCTGTATCTGCCAACAACTACTTCCCGCAAGGCTGTGTGGTAAAAATCTTCAATTTTATTCCGAATTGTCAAATATTCCTAACATTTCAAATTTACTAAAGTATTGAGTGATCAGTTTAAAATGTAAACAAAATTTCAATTTATTGTCACATGTTGAGATTCTAAACCTTTAAACACTTGCAACAAGACATTAGAAGTTGATCACATTTCCACACACAGACTGGAAAAATTGAATTGTTTTGCACTGATTCAATAACAAAACAACATTAACAAATTAAAATACCCACGGCATTTAAACTTCCATGGTGCATAATTATAAATTGGTTTTTCAGATATCTAGGCTAAACATTTCCAGTCAAATGCGACCTAAGTTAACATGTGACCTTGACTCTGGATAGACCAGTGACCTTGACCCTTAATGTATTTAGGATGAGTGTGCCATGATGTAGTTAATGAGACCGTTAGTTGAGGAATCGTGGCTAGACACTGGTGTCTTGTCTGCTAACTCAGGCTGGATGACCTTGGCTAGTTGTTTACCTAGTTCAACCCTGAAACACACACGTGAAATCACATCATTTTTAAATGCATGATGAACGATTTAGTTTTGTTTCGTCTTTTGTCAAATAAAGTAAATACACATATTTGTTTATATAAACTTGTAGGACCTCCAGTCTCCTTATGTTCAAAGAAAAGTTAAAAGTGTAATCTTTCCCGAGTTTTAGCTATATAAATTGTATCATACATTTGTATTTGGCCTTCGATGCTGATAAACCTACTCACCCCCACTGGTCATATGAGTTGATGTCCCAGATTGTGCCCTGCACAAAGATCTTCATTTCATACATAGCTGTAACAAATAACAAAATTGCCAGGAAATTTTCATAACAATTTTTGCCTGTCATTGGGCACTCAGTTTCATTTAGTGCATCAAAGTCCACTCGCATGTAACATACTCAGTGCACACAGTACATAATAATTGTTAAGTATTACTCTAACCAACAACCAACCATAGCATAATGGTTGATAATTAGCATACAAGGTAAGCAACATTACTTTAAAACTAGAAAATATCATGTCAGAAAGCTGTGAATGCCCCACACACCTATCCTCTTATGCATATTAGTATTAGGCCTACAGTTCAATGACTTTTCAAAAGTTGTCAAATTTGATCTTTGAACTTTTAACACCTTAATATGTTCAGGCGTTCAGTTGATTGATTCTTCAGACATGACATTAATTCGCAGCAGGACACAACAGAAAGGAAGGTCAGGGGTAACATTATATGCATAAAACTGTGGCAATAAAACTTTTAGTGAAGAACAAGAAAATCAAAGGGCCGCAATTCAGGAAAAACAATCAAAATTTAAAGGATGCATATAAAATTGTCTTAGATATCAGCCAAGCAGAGCATTTAATGAAGAGAACAAATAGAAAAGTATTGCATACAATGGCTGTACAGTTAATAATTCCAACAGTATCCAGGTGAAGTGTACATGAGCTATGTACACAATGTTATTACATACCTATGAGGACACCTAGGGTAAATGGCGTAAGTTTCTGAAACAGGATAGAGTTACTTGGTCTATTGCCTTCAAACACCTGTAATGAAAAATGTTACATATGAACAAGTATTGCAGTGTTAACATTGTATTCTGTATGCGACGTTCAATGAGGATCAAAAGTAGATATGTAACCATGGAAACAATTTATTAGACATCTGTAGACACTAGAGGTAAACATACCTTGTGTGGAAGTATATGTTCTAAATCCTTTGGATTCATGTCAGATGCCTCCAGCTCAGCTCGTGCCTCAGCAGTAGTTTTACCCTTCATCAGGGCCTCTGTCTGTGCCAGGAAGTTAGCCAACAAAATCTACAACATATACAGAGTCAGGGCTAGTTCAAAAATCTACAACATGTACAGAGTCAGAGCTACTTCAAAAATCTACAACATATACAGAATCAGGACCTGTTGAAAAAATAAACAACACTTACAATTTCAGAGCCTGTTGCAAAATCTGCAACATGTACAGTATCAGGTCCTGATGAATTCTAAGGTATATCAACTGATACTTAACTGAAACAAATCCTGTTAGTGCAAATCAGTCTTGTTAACAACAATCCTACAAATATTGTCAAAACACTAAACTTATACACTTTCTGGACATTCACCAGGGACGATTTTACCTGATGATGCAGGCCATTCTGTCCATCATTGAGTGATTCCACTGGCATCAGAAAGTCACATGGGATCAACATGGTACCTGGAAAATTAAAAACGACTGGAAAATACACATCAGGCTATGGTGATCCCAGAATTAACATGTCATGCTTAAAAAATAGTTGAACTGCCTTAAAAGGCATCTAAACATATGATAAAGTGAAGAAAGGCAATGAAAAGATTAGTATTGCAGAGTTAAGCCTTTATTGTCTACAGAATGGCAGCATATTCTTCAGGGATTACTCCCTCTCCCTAAGATGAGGATGAAAAGGGGGAAGTACCAGTTGGTGTACGATATCTGATTTAACTGGTTAGAAATAGGAGTGAAGATGATTTGTAACAACACTTTGTATCAAAATGAACAAATATCTATAAAAATATATAATTCCCTCCTCTTCCTACTCCCCTGTATCCCTCCCTCTCTTCCATATCCCCTCCATTTCCTGATATCCTTCCCTCTTTCCTGAACTATCTCCTTCCCATATCCCTCCTTATCTCCATATTTCCCTCTCTCCCATATCCGCCATCTCTCCCTCCCCCCTTCTCCATCTCCAACGGTAAACCTCCATCTCCCCTCTCTTCTTTCCTCTCCCCTGCATCCATCCCTCTCCTCCATATCCCTTCCATCTCCCGCGCTAAACCTCCATCTCCCCCCTCTTACTTCCTCTACCCTGCATCCATCCCTCTCCTCCATATCCCCTCCATCTCCTGCGGTAAACCTCCATCTCCCCCCTCTTACTTCCTCTCCCCTGCATCCATCCCTCTCCTCCATATCCCCTCCATCTCCTGCGGTAACCCTCAATTCCCCCCCTCCCCCCTTCTTCCTTTCTCTCCTCTGCATCCATCCCTCTCCTCCTTATCCCCTCCATCTCCTGCGGTAATCCTCAATTCCCCCCTCCCCCCTTCTTCCTTTCTCTCCCCTGCATCCATCCCTCTCCTCCGTATCCCCTCCATCTCCTGCGGTATCCTTCCATCTCTTCCTCCTCCCTCTCCCTGGTATCCCCTCCTCTTATCTGTATCATTTTTAACTAAAAGAATTCTGTGCCAATAAGATACACATAACACAATGTATTACACCTTAATGGGTGTGTGGGTTATAACAACATGATGACTAGTATACAATCCACAACAGTGAGAGTTATTCTATCTAACCTTGGTGTATAAGTTGGTAGAATGCATGTTGACCATTGGTGCCAGGCTCTCCCCAGATGACCGGTCCAGTCTTGTAGTCTACTTTTTGTCCACTGCGTGTGATGTACTTGCCATTGCTCTCCATGTCACCTTGTTGGAAGTAGGCAGCAAACCTGTGTAGGTACTGTAGCAACACAAACAAGTAGAGGTTGATGATAAGGGGAGGTAAATCCTGTCATCACTGCTGTTTCTCAGGTAAATATACACTGGGTCTCTTGGTTCTAGAGTTTGGACTTTTCCTAATACTTAACAACCATTTTGATCTTACTGCAGAAGCATTCATGTCTCCATCAACCTATTTACTTGAGCATAAGTTAAATGTGTTTGCTTCTCTGCCTAATTATCCAACTGAAAAACTTGTCTGAATTTCCTGTTTCTCAACTTAATTACCTGATCATAAGGCAGCAGTGTTTGTGTCTCTGCCTTGTAGAAGTTGTTGTACCATATTCCAATCAGTGCCAGCAGAATGGGAATCTGTTAAAACATGTGTCGACAAAACTCTGATCATCTTGTTTATAAAAATTAATCTGATACACAGAATAACTATAAATAGATGGCCCCTACAGGTCGAGGTTACAAAGTCAACTGATTATTGTAGCAAAGTCAACTGATTATTGTAGCAAAGTCAACTGATTACTGTAGCAATGTCGACTGATTATTGTAGCAAAGTCAACTGATTATTGTAGCAAAGTCAACTGATTATTGTAGCAAAGTCAACTGATTATTGTAGAGAAAAAGTATACACAAGCTACCTCTACTTAGAATGGTAGTCATACATTTATAATGTTTACGTATGAAACATATTCCAATACCCTGTGTTCAAGGTTAAAACCAGTGTAAGTATTGATGTAATGATACAGACACAGCTTGTGATCACTGTGTGCTGGCGTGACACTAAAACATTTCCTTTTATATCAGTATTGCTTCACATTGAATTCTATACTATAATTATGTTGAAAGGAAATTCCCAGAGTGACAACAACGCGGTCCAATCCTCTCCAATTCAGGTTTTATTCGCAGAGTAGGTTGTTTACATGTTTCCGATCCATGTAAACAACCTTCTCTGTTAATAAAACCTGACTTGGAGAGGATTGGACCACGTTGTTGATAATATCCACTGCCTTTGTGGGAGGTATTTCACCGATCTTCACTGACAGAGGGACCTTGTGCCTCCACCACCCTGCTATAATTATGTTGATAATAAAAAGTAAATATGTCTTAACTACCTAACATCAAACTTACACTGTACACATAGTACTTTGAACAGCATACTGTATCTTACAGTGTCTCTAACTTTCTGTACTATTGTGAGATTTCAATGACAACAATCATGACACCTGATACAATCATCTTTCATTCTTATGAAAGAATTTTCATAACCTTACTGTGTTCAGGCCATATGAACCTCAACAGGTACATTTAGAATTTTTAACAACTTCTTGTTTATATTGTCAGAAAATATTTATCTATATAATTTTATTCTAGACTCCAGTATTAAGTTACGTTTTGTTCCATCGGTGCAGTACGAAAGTGGTTGTCCATGAAGTGTCCACCAGCCAACATCTCTTCAAAGTTGTCCATTCCTGTTGGACAAAATATGTATATTTATTGAATATTGACAGATAGTGCTGAATCATTCACATGGCGTTAATTCACATGAATAAAACAAGTTTGAAATGAAGACATGTCACCAATAAGCCAAAATGTTGTAATAACACTGATACATTTGTATACCTATCTCAACATATTTCCCTTGTAATAACCCTGATACATTTGTATACCTATCTCAACATATTTCCCTTGTAATAACACTGATACATTTGTATACCTATCTCAACATATTTCCCTTGTAATAACCCTGATACATTTGTATACCTATCTCAACATATTTCCCTTGTAATAACCCTGATACATTTGTATACCTATCTCAACATATTTCCCTTGTAATAACCCTGATAAATTTGTATACCTATCTCAACATATTTCCCTTGTAATAACCCTGATACATTTGTATACCTATCTCAACATATTTCCCTTGTTTTATCCAATGTACAACAAAGTGGATTTCCCATGGTTGCCATTCCTTGTCATTTTTCACGAGACACATTTCAAAAACACTTCATTCTCCTTCCACTGTATTTTTACCTGACAATAAGCCCACCCTGACTTCAGACAAGATAATACAGCCATGTAAACAACCACTAAAACTAACTCACCAACATGGAGAGCGATGGACAAGCCGATGGCTGACCAGAGTGAGTAACGGCCTCCGACCCACTGTAAACACCAATCAGAAAATGTATAGATTTCTTTTCATACTTATACCAGAACAAAGTTTAATTTAAATCAATTATAAATAAAACATGTTTGTCATACAAAAAAAATTTGACTCAAAGAAGAAAACTTTAATTCAATTTCAGACTTGAGATATGTCACTTACATCCCAAAATCCAAACATGTTCTTCTCGTCAATTCCAAAGTCTTTGACCTTGGTCTGAAATAAAAATTATTACACTATGATACATACAATGTGATGGGCTTAAACCTTCTCACAGTATATGGAGTCTATAATAACGCCATTATTGTTCAGTTTACTATATTTTCTCTTTCAATACCAGTACAATGAAAGTTTGTTCAAGGAAATAAATTTCTGATTCTCTTTTTTTCTAGACTGATGAAAAAAATTTATTGAATACAATCTTTAGTTATTTATTCAAATACTTGTCACTGCAAAAAGAAACTTTCATTAAAAATTAAAGATTTATAAAATTCTACTTACTGCGTTAGTTGACAAAGCTACAAAATGTTTTGCAACAAATGCCGGCTGAAACAAAGTAAGAAACAAAATAAACAAGCATTAGAAAGGTCATCGTCTAAAACAGTTCAACTATCAATTTTTACCCTCTCGGGTTCCTATGTCTTTCCAATGTTTGTCTAGTCACATCCCAAGCTACCTTCTAATTGAACCCTTCATGGAAACCTCTGATAGCTTCTAATTTGGATATTGTGTACCTGGTAGCAATGAAAATGAAACTATGGAAATATTACTGAATTTATTCTACATTCAAGATAGCCATTTAATTTATTTACAGAAACTTTCATAGATAAGGATGGGCTTATCATCAGGCATTGGCTTATTGTGGGATATCTATATTATGAACATAGTGTGATCATCACATTTGACCTAGAAATATGACTTACATCTTTGGCAGTCTCCATGAACCACAGCTTTGCTGTCGTTGCGTTTGTGATAGTTTCTTGTGTGGTAAAGGTCTAAAATAAAAAGAACATGAGATGTAGAACACCATTAAACACATTTATTTAAATTGTGCACAGCCCATGAAAATAAAAATAAATATCATTCTAACTATGAATTGATATTTTATAATAATAAGTTGAATGTACATGTGTCGTAAACTTGCCTTTTAATTATCTCTTTTTAAAAATTTGACCTCTAGTGATCTTTCCGAAGACTATTTCAAAGTTTGCAACACATTTCATTCCTTACATATCTGTAGATATCCTATACATTTTAAAAAGACCTTCATCCTAGCAAGCTAGTTAATATTATTCAAAGTGAATTTTCCCAACACCTGACAGGAACAGAAAATTTAAAGCAAGCCAAAACGCAAAACATCTTTTAGGTCAAGTCCACCAAGTTAACAGATAATAAGACTTTTTCTAACAAATTATTGTAATGAGAGCATATTTTTTTTACCTTAGAGGCGATGATAAACAGTGTGGTTTCTGGGCTGAGATTCTCGAGTGTCTTTGCAATGTGTGTGCCATCAATATTTGACACAAAGTGGGTGTTGGGGCCACACTTGTATTTCTTTAGGGCCTCTGTTGCCATCAAGGGTCCCTGAAAACAACCAAAATCAACAACTCTGGACTACTGGAAAATCTGCGATGCTCTTACTATATAGGACTTTTTTAATACATGTTCATGTTCGTGTCTGTCCAATTAGTGACAAATCCTGTATGAATTCAATTCCCTATCTTAGAGTCGGAGGTAATATAGTGTAATTCACTCCTCTGAATTACATCCTCAATGCTCCAGGAATTACGATCACTTTTGCTCTCTGCACCCCTGGAACATGTCATGGCAAAACTGAAATCAAAGTAATTTTATTGGTTCCAGGAGAAAAAAAACTGACCAATCACAGACTGATATGCTCTTTTTCAGATTACAAAGAAGCGACACCCAACTTCAAAGTCATTAGAATATATTGTTATGCGACCTTGAGATTCATTTGATGTACATCAAAGGATCAAACTAGTCTTTTCGTCTTGTCCACAAGGTGTCACACATGGAACCTTCAATTTTGCCATGACATTGTAACAGGGGCACAGAGAGCAAAACCGTTCGGAACTCCTAGAGTATCAAGGATGTCTGAATTTTTGCAGGCTTAATGCAGTAAGGTGCACATCAACACCATGCAGGATCTCTTACTTTAACAGAAACATTGTAAATCTGGTTTGAAGAAATCTGATATAATTCAGCATGTTAGCTCGTGAAATCTACAGCTTCATACAATAATCAAAATTCTGTGGTAAAATGTTACATACCAAGTCCGACCCACCAATACCAATGTTAACCACATCGGTGATAACTTTCCCAGTATATCCCTTCCAATTGCCATTACGAACAGCGTCAGAGAACTCTCTCATGTGTTGTAGAACACTATTCACATCTGGCATCACCTAAATACAAACAATTAAAACAGAAATATGTTTGTAGTATAACATCAGAAAACAGCAAAATGGAAATCGGTTAATAGTATGTTCTTTCCTAGAGAACATCAATGTAATTGCCACGGTGATTGACATAATGATGCATTTGACCACTTTCCCTCATCAGGACAACCAGGAGTTAAATTCTCTATAGAATATTAAAGGTGTGGGAGCACCCGCTTCACCATAATATAATTTTCTTTTATTCAAGTTAATACTTTATAAAACTCACGTCTTTTCCATCCACAAAGACAGGGGTATTTGATCTGTTTCTCAGGGCGGTGTGTAAAACTGCTCGGCTCTCTGTGAAGTTGATTTTCTCACCACTAAACATGGCAGCCCGCATCTCTTCCACCTTCCGTTCCCGAGCCTGAAGTAAAACAATACCGTACTGAATTAAACAAAGTTCTCTCATAAACCATTTTTGCAGTCTAAATACCTAATTATAATAGGCATTTACTGTCAGTTTACATAGAAAACAAGAAAGCACAGCATACTCCGATAACAATTTAGATATTTTGTCAATAAGACTTAAACTTTTGAGAAATTTTATGAAATGTTACACGTATATATACACATCCTTTTTTTCTTTATTCTAAAACAAATGGGACTAAGTTGTACTGAAAATCTTCAAAATTTTACAGGTTTACAAATTGAATAGTTGGATTTCTGACTAAATTTCAAAGCAGCCTGTGTCAACATAACATGGAAATAATTACATAACATTTCCTTTATAATTCGGATATTAAACTATTTTCTGTTTTCATTTTTTCTCTAATTTTTGTTTAGATAGGGAAAACACAACAACAAAAATCTATCTGAAAAGTAATTATGTAGGTATTTGTCAGTAATGTACATCAAAGTACTGACCAGGCTAAACAACATCTGCATCACATCTTCATTGACAAGATTTTTGGAATAGTCCAGCAAGAGGTCGCCATCCTTGGTTTTGAGTGTTGTGCTGTTTATATACAAGAATAAACAATGTGATATCAACAAGATAAGATTAATGTGAGTATAGTACAGGTCTGAAATTCTGCTGAACCAAGGATAAAAAGAAGTAAAATTATTTGAATTTGATGTTCATCAATCACAAACTGAAAAAAGGAGAGAATAACACTTTAGAGTTAAATATTTTTTATTTTGTTATCCTACCTTGCTGCAAGCCAAGGAAAAAATTGTAGGTTAGTTAAATATCTTCTGCACATTAAAATGGATACTGAAGTCGAGGAAAAGTCGGGAATACAAGTTATAATTGATGATATTATAGAAAGATATACATATAAAATATACATATATATATAAATATATATGAAGACTACAGGATTTTTGAGGACTTTTGGGGGCTTATAATGGTCCCCATTCCCAACTGACATTATCTCATATTTAAGCCAATCCCAAAATGTAGAGTTTACTCTTGAAAATTTCCTTTCAAATTTACCGATTTTCTTCCAAAATGAGGCAAAAATTCCCCATCCCAAATCAATAGGAAAAGACTTGGACTATCTTGTATCTGTCAAGTCAATCTGTTAATTTACTGGGTTTATTGCCCCGTGAACTGCCAGGGTCATTTGGAGTGGGAGTCGATCCTTGTAGAATATAACTTCAAACACTCAGTTTTTCTTCTGATGCTGTATAATGTATTGTCAAACATACATTACAATTTTATAGTCATTGTCATCTACCACAGATTTATTCAGTGTTTAATATGTGTGAAGCTACCAAGTAACGATTAACTTTCTTGTCTTAATACATACAGTTCAGAAACCCAATAACAGCTGTTGGAACATATATAACAACTGAAACAGGTTGCAGACCTAAAATCAAACAGACTGTGTTTGTACCAAGTAGGAGATAGCTAACACAGGGACAATTTTGTTATATTAAGTTACAGTACATTATGTAATGTAAATGGGCTCACATGTGTTGAAATACAGTGTCTTTCATTTTGATTTCAGACAGTGTAAACATGTACCATATTACCAATAATAAAAGCTCATGTTTTGTAATATTTTATTTACAAACTAGTATTATGATGATATGCTATTATAATTTTCACGACCACTGTAGCTAGTTCAACCCCTTAGGAGTCATGGGTAATTCTATATGTTAAGTAAAGATACAAGAATTCAAAAGATGGCCCTGTCGGTTGATAGTGATACTACAGATTTGAAATTATTCTGTCACGCAATCCTAATCATAGATGTAAATATTTGTCACTTTTAAAGCCATGAACATATATCCTTAAATCTTGGAGAACTTTGTAATAGTCAATCAAAGTTAAAAAAAAGAGGTTTATGTTAAAAAAAAAAATATAATGTTAAACTTCAACCTAATGAGATTTTTAAAGTTCAGACAAATATTCAACCATAAAACAATACTCTAGAATTTTTCTTTTGATGAAAATCAAATTTTTGTTTTCTGAGCACAAAGCTAACTATGCTTATATTGACTCAAGGAAGAATAAATATCCTATTTCTCACCTGTAATACTTACTTTTACCTTTAATCAGATATCATACAAAGTACCTGACAATTCTATATACATAGGATGAAATCATTCAGCCTTGTACAAAGTTTTATTAAACTTAAGTCTCTGTTATTTACTTATTTGGTGGTGGTGGTGAAGGGAGGTTGGGGGGGGGGGGGAAGGCAGATTTTTTGGTGAGGAGAGGTGCATTTTTCACCGAGGTTTTACAGTAGCTTGCACTTTGATTTATAGGGAAATATCAAAATACTTGTGAATTAAGAAGATGTTACTTAAATTCTCTTAGCTACAGAAAAACAGCAGACTACTTAGCTCTACTGTGTTACTTGTAAGACAATCACAGCCTACAATGTATACCATGTATGTTATAATACATGTAAAATTCTGTGTTTATAGACTATTGTCCCTTTGTTGTCAGTCATTTTTGTTTGATTCTCATTTATCTTCAAAAGTTGGACTTTTTCCCTTTTATTTCTCTTCTTACCCCTATATTTTCTTAATTTTCAGAAATTTTAGAATTCCTCCTAAGAAATAGCAATAATAATTCTGAACTGTCAAATCAAAGAATTTGCTTGTCTATATTTTTGTCCCAAAATCAAACAGACACAACTACGGAACAATAAAGTGGAACCTATGAAATCTGAGAAAGATCCGTCCAGTATTTCTCAAGAAATAGCAATAATAAAAATTTTCATTATTAAAATCCAAGATGACCCTGTCAGTCATTTTATTTTTGAAATCAGTCTTAAAATGGGACAATGCATAACCAGGGACAAACTGTTTTTCTACCAGATCAAAAGAGTACAACTAGGGACCAAGTGTGACCTTAATGTGTGATGTAAGAATGATACATCCAGTTTTCTCAAAAAATATTTGTAACAAGAATTGTTTGGGGCTGACAGCAAACAACAGATGATGGACACCAGATGAACAGACCATGTCAATTGGGACTGCCCGTAAATGATGATGGTGGACTCATGATATATATGTATATATAATTCTTTTTTAAAAGTTTGAATTCAGTCGATTATTAAATTATAAAATTAAAAAAAAAAAACCATAAATATTATTTATAATATATACAACTATATATTTTAAGTTTCTCATTCTAATGGATCAATTGAATTTTGAGTTTGAAATAAGTTCAATGACAACATTGAAATAAAGTAAAAATTTGTGGATCTCCATGACAGAAAGGAAAATCAAAATAAAGATTTTTAAACAATAACAAATTTGACATGATTCTTTTAAAGAATAAATTTCTCACATTGACATGTTAATGCCAGTTATGCAGGAGAGTCATACCTAAAACAGTCCTTTTTGTTCAGTTAAACACAAAATCATAATCCTCACATAAATGTTTCATACAACGATCAAACATTTCCTAAAGTTGTAGACCTGATGTAGCAGGATGTAGTATTTAAGTGGTTACAAATTAGAATGAAGTCATGCATGATCCCTGAAGCGAGTCAAGATATATGTATATACTTAAAATATGTGATAAGTTACTTAAGTGCCCTATATAGGCCTTCAGCCTTATACACTAATATTGATGTACACATTTACTATTAAGAGATTTTTCCTAAAATTCCAATCATGAATCTTCAATAGATCAATTTCCCCAATGGATAAATGGAGATTTTTTCCTTAGTTTGATACAAGAAATTGTTAAAGAAAATACTCAAAACTCCACACAAAAAACACATGCATCAATGACCATACTTGTATTCAATTTCAATGAAAAATCACAATACTAGGAGTTTAATCATCACAGGCACTAGTTAGCTTGATGATATGTCTATATTTTTTAATCAGTAAGTAAAGGGAATGTGATCAAAAGCATTGTATCATGAGCTTTGCAAATCACTTAAAATGCCAAATGAAATAGTTTAATTTAAGTCACAGTGACCTATTTTCTTTCAAAGACAAAGTTGTTGTCTTTAGCTGTTGGATTCAGGAGAACATCAGTGCTATGTACAGTATTTCTTTGGCATTAAACTACCATCCAGTGCATAAAAGAAAATGGGCACCACTTATATTTGAAAAATGTTCAGTCATTAGCTGTAGTTAGAAGCAGGGAAAATGTTTCCTTGTTTTTACTGAATATCTATGGTACAGTATAGTGCTTCAAATGCACCAAAAACTTGTCACAGACATGTATGGCCTATATTTGAGTAATTATACTACTGAATGACAAAATTTGTAAAAATGGAATAAAAGTTGAAATATTCAGTAGAAAATCTGAGGTGGAATACTTTCAGTTATATTTGAAAATTCAAATTTTCTAAATAAGGAAGTTCTTATCTAAGTTGCCACTTACATTGGCAAGACACGCCTCATATTTATAACATAACCCATGGAGGAAATTTCTAATTTTAAAGAAATCAAAACTAAATGAAGTAACAAGTCTGCTGACGAAGTCATAAAAATATTAGTGTTTAATAATTTTATGAAGCAGGAAATTAATACAACAACGACACTCCATCCATTTTTCTTTTCTTTTTTTTTCATTTTCGGAATACGTCGTCTGCTAGCCTTGACCTATATTTTAACAAAACTCTCGGAAATGTTTGCGCTAACTGTCAAAACTAATTTCAGCAATCTGTACCAGTTTGTTTCATCAATTTCTACTGCAACTTACCTGAATTTTTCAAAACGCTTTGGATCTTCCTTGAACATTTGAGGCATATTAAGATTTGAGCCATTGCTGTCAAAGTAATTTTGCAACTGTTTCCAGGATGCCTCTGAAGTCAACTGAGCTCGTTGGATGTCCGCCATTCTGCCGGTGCAATGTGAAAGCAGTGAAAGCAAAGTGACCTTCACGTCCTCTTTTGGGGGATTCTTGTCCTTTACCATAAGTTAGTGCGTAAATCGCTGAAAATTACAGAGGCAGCCCGAAGAGAAGGGGTGATACCTACTTCCGGTTTGAGTACTGCATGTGTGTTTGAAGGTAAACATCACTTATTTTACCTAATACTGTCTTCAAACAAACTGTGTTTAGCAAAGGCATGTTTTTATTTGGTTAAGTTTTGTATTATGAATAAGCTGATACAGCTTATCTTCATTTTGTTTGATGATGTGATCAGTTTTCAGATTTTGTTGTTAAGGGGAGAGCGACTGTCAGATTTATGATATTGTCGAGCGTAAGTCAATGTTTAGTTGGTATTTGTAGCTCTTTATAACTATTAGAAAAATTGTACTACATGGCCACGCTGGCTGGTATGTTTTCTTACTACAGGTTTAGCAGTCGTTTAATGTCGTTTAAATAAGGTGTCATTTCTACAGGTTAAAGCTGATGTAAATCTCGTTACATAGAAATAGTGTTTTTTTTCGTGAAACAAATCCATGTTTCATGAATTTTTTATGATCAAGTGATTCTAGCATGGTACACGATAGAAAACTTTGTTATTTCAAGAAATTCAGCTCTGTCCTACTGTTAAAGTTTGATACATCATGACATAACACCTATGATGGATAATTTGCCATCATCAACCACTGACCTTGTATCTATTCTAAATCTTTGCTCCAGCATAATATAGCACCCAATAATGAAGTGGTCGAGTGTGGCATATCTTATGATATAGGAGTAGATTATTTTGGTATTGCCTTTAATGAATTAATTGGTCCAGGTAGAAATAAACTAAAATTTCATTAAGTTTGGAGTATTGTAAAATTGGGAATATACCAAACTTTGTAGTTTATAATTATCTCATTTCAGGAAACACACAAACATTCTTTATAATATTATATTGAAGACTGAATTTTGTAGTGACTCAGAGTAGCATGCAGTGATATAGCTTCCAAAATGTGAGACCTTAAAAGTTATTTTTAGGTGAATGTACTATATGTTATGATTTATATATAATAGAACTGAACTTAATCACAACAGTACATTTATTAATACCAAATGCAATTGAAACATTCATCAATGTTATCAAATCCAGAAATAGTTAATATGTTGAATGATTAACACATTAATCATTTGTATAGATAATGCTATAACTTTTCAATATGTAGGACAGTGCCCAGGTGAGTGTGTTGCTGATAAGAGAATGATACATGATAATATACCTTAGTTTTACTGCTATAGTCCCTGACAGGCAACAGTCACATGGAAAAGTCAGGAGATAGTGAGGCTTACCACTAAGACAATATTAGTATAACAGTAATAAGTATAGAGATGGGCTTATTACCAGACATGGACTTATCATGTAATCGATTTGGTCATTACCTATTAGTAATGAAGTCTGTAGATGTGAGATAGGATACAAAAACGTAGTAGCCCAAGTTAAAGGATTCATGAATTTAAAATTCAGTGTGCTGATTTCTATGTGATGTATTTATAAAAAAAAATTTGAACATGACTTCATAAGTTGAAATCATGGACATTATTTGTGTGTTGTTATAGCAAGGTAAAGATTCATTATACTTGTATATATTGTTGGTGTACATTTCCTTTATTTTCATTAAACATTGAAATTACTGATGTACTTATATAGTTGTTTACAGTTATAAACAAAGATGTATATATTATTAATTTGTGTATATTTTAAGAACTTTTTAAACAACTGTGATTTATGTACATTTCTATACTGATATATTCAACATACAGTTGTTAATTTATAAACAATGATTGATTTGTTATCTCTATGCAAAGATTTTAGTAAATAGTATGATTCATGAGTTGTGCTTATGGGAAGGTTAAAAGAATGATTAATCTGTAATAAAGAAAACATGTTTTATATATAGAAAATCAGTAAAATGATTTGACATTTCCAATTGTATTTTTTTTTTTTTCTTAATTTTTTTTTGGGGGGGGCTTCATGAGCCTGGAAATTTTAAACATTTTGTTAACAACTTATTTTTGTATAACAACTTCTGTTTCTTGTTTCAGATCACTGGCTGCTGCTGAATTCCATCAAAGAAAGTCAATATTATGTAACTATTGAACAAAATTGACACTGACCTCAAAGGTCAAAATATCATTATGGTTGTCATGGTGATGGAAGTCATCATTAACAACAGCAGTCCATAGTAAACAATTTCCCAATTTAAACAAACTTTAAACAAACAAGTAAATATGTGCTAGAACTCTTCCAACATTTTGAATGCCAACAGTGGCCGAACACATCTAGTCATATTCAATCCTTGAAAAAATTTGAATGCCATTATGATAAATACAAACCAAAGAGATTTTGACATGAGCTGTCTGATTGGATGACAAATTTCTGTTGCCATGGAGAACTTGAAGAAACACCTGCTGATGAACTCTGGGAGTCGACCTCTGGGAGCTGGTGAATCACAGTCGGCATTCTTCGTTGAGGATGACGAGAGCGTGTTTGCTGGACAGGTACAAAGTAGTTATGAGGGAGTAGTTGAGTACCTGGATGCATGGAAAAAGTTTGATGGGGCAGGTACCCATCTTCTTGACTCCCTCCAAAGTGTTACCAAGGATACTCGGTGTGAGAGACTGGGACGTGAGACATGTGGGGCATTTCAGTCAGTTTACAGCAGTAGTAATGGCATTGACCCCAGCGGAAAACTCAGGGAAATGGAAAAACTCATGTCGGGTCTGAAGTCAAGACTTGACAAAGGTGAAAAACTAGAGAAAACCCCTACTAACTCTCAGGTGAGTACTCCAATAAGTTGCAGGGAATCAAGTTTATAAAGCTAGAAAAGTCCTCCACCAAGTCTCGGGTGAGGTTGAAGAGCTTGTTAAGGCCCCCACCAAGTCTTGGGTGAGTTTGAAGAGGTTGTTAAGGCCCCCACCAACTCTCAGGCGAATTTGAAGAGCTTGTTAAGGCCCCCACCAATTCTAGGGTGAGTTTGAAGAGCTTGTTAAGGCCCCCATCAACTCTCAGCATGTATTGTTCAGAAATTCATTGTCCAGAAATAAGCCCAGTCACCCATATTGAGTCTAGAGGTTATCTGCTTTTGTTAATGTTTGTCCCTTGGAGTTACTGAATGACTAATTTGTCAGATTTGGCAATTAACTTAATAATGCTTTAAATGTGTAATACATACGATATAGTAATACATGTATGCATTTAAATTAAAAGAGAGTCAAAATAATTGTTGGAAAACCTGAAAATACAAATAGCTAGCTAGCAGTACAATGATAACAAGATAATCATATAAATGACCTTTTGATAATTGTCAATATTTCTTGTTTTTAAGGTGCTGTGTCAATGTCTGTTGTTGTTTCTCAAAGTCCACTCTGATTATCACCACATGTGTTCTGTTACCTTGACAACATTGCTCAACAAACTAGTCCAAATCTATGACAGTACGGAGAATAAAGACATGCTTCAGCAAATGGCTGCCTTAGATCTCATTCCCAAAGTCACCAAAGATTCCCCTTCACACAGTGGTGTTCCTCCACCAAAGAAAAATAGTCCCAGTAATGGATCTCCAAAACTTAACAAAAATAACACTTTGAAGACTTCTTTGTTTTCCTTGTTTGAGCGGAAATCATCGCCTGATGAAAGCAAGTGTGCCTTTTATGTAGATCTTAACCAGACTGGTGCTAATAGCCAATTAGATCCCTTTGCTAGTGGTCATGTGTTACCACAAAGCCAATCAGAAATCTTGGTGCCGATAGGGTTGGATCCAGTCCATGAAGATGCAGGGGAGGAGGAAAACTTGATGCAGATAGTGGATGACGATGTTATAAGAGAAAATGTACAGACTAAGTCTGCAGGTAAGGGATGTTATATATATGGTGTTGTCAAGTTAACAACATTATCAGAACAGAATTGTCATGATGTTATCATTGTAAGAAGTACATTACCTCAACATAACAAGAAGTTATGAAAATTACATGACTTTATAAAAACTAGGGGTTCCAAACTCAAATAATGACAAAGAGTTCATGACATTGTAATAACCAGAGGTCAATGTCAAATTAAATAAAGTATGTCACTCTTTTCTTAAAATGAAACCTGTCAAATGTTTTACAGACTGTTGTATGTACAATTCATATCGATGTATGTATTAACATTGTGATCAAGGTGTTCATATCACGTAATTAAACAGTTTTTCATGTCGAGAAAATTCCTGCAGTCTATCTGTACAACTTCCAAACATCCTTTTTTTGGGGATGTCGTGTCAACGTGATGGTTAGGCATCTGGAATTTTTCGGCTAGGTGATTTAGTGCTGTAAATCTTGAGTTCAAGGCCCAAACAGTCAAAAATGATCTTCCTTCGTTAAATGTGTTATATTGTGCAAAATATATATATTCTTAGGCTTGCTTTCAGGCCAGACTGTCAGTGTCCAGCTCCCTGGTCCAGTAAACAGTAGCCATCCTGCCACAGAGGAAGACCTTGACCTTGTCATTAACCTTCTCTCAGGGATTGGTGGGTCATCTGGTCATATGGAGCCCATCCCAGAAAATCACACTCACCTCAGTGTACCCATGGTCTTCAGCAGTCGAACTCCATCACCCAGGGACATGGAGGATCTGAGGTTTTCTAAGGTAACCATTCAGAACAGTTCAATGCAAGGGCATTCTTATTGCACAAGGTCATCCTGTCCTCCAGTGATATCTCCAAACTTAGATACATGAGGACAAGATCAATCAAAGTCATTAAAGGTGATTGAGTTTTGTAACGCATGGTAAATAATTACACTCACTGTTTCATATGTAGGGCATAGATAGTTCAAATGTTGACATCACCTCAGATGAAGATTTGTGGTGTGTGATTTGACACTTTCTACCTGTAGTGGTCTGTGTTTCTTCAGTAGAAACATACTGATCTGTGCTATAATACTGTATTGAAATGGGCCTTTCTTGATATAGAATGCTGAAGTTATGTTTGGGTGACTTGTCATGTAAATACTGAGATGCCCAAGGCTTGGAAGGCTGCTACCTGACATTACCACAAGATCCATTGTTACTCAGTCTACAGTTTAATGTGTCAGTGAAGACCCAGATTTATATCAGCTCCCCTCACTGCTGTACTTGTAGACCATTATAGTCTGTTTTAGGTTATCAATATCATATATAACAGTACTGCTGTAAATCACTTATTTTTCGCATGGTATTTATTTTCACGTTAATATGCGAGGAGAGCCAATCAGGAATTTATGCGAGGAGAGCCAATCAGGAATTCAAATTTCTCACAATTATTGGTGACTTGCTTGTTATTACTTCGCAATATGGAGTCTTTCCATCGTACAGTTACAGGTCAGAGGTTGGAGGTCAAGCACAATAGATATAACTGTAAATCCCAGATACTGTTTTTGTGTTGGAAAGGTACTGAAGTATTGACAAGAACAACAGAATTTTATAACATGTAAAAATTATAAAAACATTGAGTAGAAAACTGTAAAAGACATTACTGCTGGGATGACTACTGTATAATAAGTAAAAACACATTCAGAAGCATAACATAAACACTGCACAGTATGTCTACTGTGAAAGTCCCGTCATCTTACCCTGAAAACAATTCACTCTTCAAATATAAAAGCATGTGGAGCGTTTGAGTATCGTATACATCAGGGCATTGGTTTTATGGTTTCAGTAAAAATGACATCAAATTCAGTTCAATCTGAACCCAGTTTGTTGAAGTAAACCTGTACATATTTACTCTGTTATTTATGTACCTGCTATCCTATGATTTTAATAACAAATTTTTGTGACAGGTGCCGACACACAGGCGGTCAGATGGATGTCTTGACTTTACTGGGATGGGCAGCCAGGGCCGTAATACTTGGCCACATCGTTCTAGTCTTCCTACGAGTTCACTATCCTCCCATCAGCATGGTTTCCCAGACCTATCTGGTTCAAATTCTGTGCCGCGACGATACTCCCACGACATGTGTCACCGCCCGTCTCAGGGTTACAGCCCAATGGGATCAGGACAGAACCTTTCTGGGAGTCTACAGTGGGGAGCCTTTCCAGACACTCGGTATAACAATCGGACATGGCCACTGAATAATACTGGCCTCTCAGTTCATGGGTACGTTTGTTCAAGGTTACAATATGTTAATTTTAGATCACATGGCAGTTCTAGGTCACATTGTGTTCCAAGTTAGTTCAGAAGTCACATGCTGATTTAAGATTGCAATAATTTAGACTGAATGTCGCTTTAAAGTGTAAATGTATTTAAGTCTGGATATTTAACATCTTTTTGACTTTTATGCCCTGCCATAAAATGGGGAAGGAGGCATGAACAATTGCCCATGTCTGTCCCCTGACATTCTTAGCTGTCCCCTCCATCCCATCTCATTTTGTCCTGTCCCTTCCAAATTCAATATAAATGTAAGCATCTAGTAACTTCTTCCTTGGATAGATTTAGGTCAAACTTTATACAAAAAGTTAATGATGAATATACTTTTGATATCCTTGTGTTCAGAGACCCAAGGTCAAGCCCAAGGTCACCCTTGCTATAAATAGAAAGTCATCAACTGATTCAATTTAAACACTTTGCAACTTCATTCTTTCATGGAATTTGGTCAAACTTTATACAAAGATTAAGTATACTTTGGACATTATTGTTTTTCAAGGATTCAAGGTCAAGGCCTTTTTGGCGGGGGTATTTATTGTATACAGAGATTTTTTAGTTCTATTTTTATCAACTAATATGTTTAATTGTGATTTGTTTTTAGGTTGGTCAATTTTGGCATATTTTGTCTTTTATATTTTACAATGGTTATTTCAGGTCTGACAACACTCTTAACAGCAGCTGGTCTGCTATACAAGACTCAGATGATCTCAGCGATGATTCATCGTGTGGGGAACAGTTTTTTGCAGTTGGACTTGACCTTGTGCATGCCATTGATTCAAAGTAGGTTTATCAACAAGATTCTAGAATATATTGTGATAATCTGAGTTCCAATGTCAAATATATTTGAATACTATGAAAGAACAACTATCATAAGTAAGTCCAGTTGACCAACATATAATATCTGACATTTAGACATGGGGAGCTCTGTTGTAGTCATTTTAACTGAAATTGCTGTAGGTATGGGCGGGCTTACAACCAAAGTAAAAGATTTTGGACAGAGATTAATCAGTACCATTGCAATACCATGTGTATTAGGCCCAAGTGTAGACAAAGATTGTAAAATCATGATCCTGCCAAACTTAGCTCTGACTTTGAAATGAGAACTATTTCTTTATGTTTAACAAAATGATAGCTGTCTTATTCTAACAAGAAAAATGTTGATGTTTTTAGGTCACCTGTGGCAAAGTCTAATGGTGACCAATTGTGATTCTCTTTTGTCTGGTGTCATCCTTTTGTACTAGGATTGACCAAGATTAATATGGCAGGTTGTCATTGATGAAGCAGAAGATGCTTACCCTTCTAGAACACCTGGTCTTATTCTCCTTGTACTTTTTCATGAGCCTCCATGTAAATATTTTTTTAGTTCTTATATTGCCCTTGAAATTAAGATTCTGCTGATATGTTGCTATTTTCTTTTATTATTTATGAGTCAAAATTTGCATGTTGGCTCTTTTGGGATTCCTGGGCTTATGATAAGCAGGATGCTCAAATGTTTCCGTAAAAATATGACAGGTCTCACAATTCAAACATTCTTACAGTTGTACAAATACATTTTATTGTTTGATTTTTCATCCGGTTTGCTTAAATAATCAGGAATGGATGCAGCGATGACGAGGGTCAGAAGACAGGTATGAAATCACCAAACCATGACCGCCCGCCTCTGTGTGACGAACGCCCACATAGTGCTGAGGATGTCCTGGTAAGTATCTACAATTTAAAGGTCAAAGGGGTGAAATATGTTTGATTTAGTTCAGGGATAATATGTGTTAGATTTAGTTCAAGGTCACAGGGATGATATTAGTGAGATTTAGTTTAAGGCCACTGGGGGAGGGGTAGACATGACCACTGCCTCTCCAGGGGGAGGGGTAGACATGACCACTGCCTCTCCAGGGGGAGGGGTAGACATGGCCATTGCTTCGCCAGGTAATGTCAGCATCTAAAGTTTAATTTGTTTATCAGCATGAAAAACAGATTCATGGTCTGTGGCCAGCCAATCCGAACTGGAACCAGCCTGGACAAGTTGTAACCAATGAGGAGGCTACTGAAGGGTCATATGACCAGCCTGTCAACCAATCACATCGCCCTGTGTCTATGCAGTGGAGTGACCCTCTGGCTAACAGAAGTGTGTGGCCAGTTTCTGGTGAGAATGAAGTTTTTCGTTGTTAAATCATTGATTTGTCTATCTACACAATTTCTTGATGTCTATCAGTTTTTATATCTCTTTTTTGTCATGTTCTCCAAAAACATTCAGGGCAACATATTGTCCCTTCCTTTTTCTTATTAGTGGTTTTCTGATATTTATTGACTCCTGGTGAAAAAAGACCTTTGTCTCATAATTAGTAAAGACTTTATTTAAAACTAGAAAATGTCCAAGAATGGTAAATGTCCCTACTGACAGACATGTAAAATATTAGTGACAATTCTTTATAAATAGTACAAGTGATCTTTACTTTAAATGGGCAAAAAAGAACAAAAAGATATTTTATTCACAGTAAAGAATGAAAATATTCATTTGAATTAGGAAGATGAAAAGTTAAAGCTGATTAAAATTACAAATTGTTTTCTTTCATTTCACAATAAATCATTGAATGATTTGTGATAAATGTTTAAATTTCAGGTGTTGGCAACTCACACAGCCTGCAGGGGTTTGGTCAACAACAATGATGATGGTTACATAATGTATGTCCCAGTCGCTGTCTGAGTTAAAAGTCTACAGTTTTAATGAAAAGCTCTTTCTTATCACTTCAAGTGACAGTTCTGAAGGTGAAAGGTCAAAGGTTTATCTCTTTGTGAGACCAAGTGTTCAACTTTCAGAAAGTTTCGGTACATGTTAAAATAAGTTTTATATTAACATTGCAAGTATACAAATTATACAACTTTCAGTGGATTAAACGGTTAAAATGATGCAATTTGAATACAAGAAAAGTCATCTGAAGTGTGACTTTAAAACATATTTACATTTTGTGGTGAGAGTAACATAACATCTAAATATGGACAGTGAAGACAAAAATTGTAGTAAATTGCTTCATAAAAGCCCCCCCCCCCCCCCCCCCCCCCCCCCCCCCCCCCCCCCCCCGAAATTCCCATTTATTTCCTGTTATTTGAATATGAGTTCAAATAGACATTAGGAAGTATACAACCTAGCAGATGGTATTGGTACTTTACTATGTTCAGACAAGTTGAAGATTTCAATGTCAGATAAAATAAAATTCTATTTTTGTTTATTGTTGAAATTTTCATGGTTTTTGAGAAGCTTGAGGTAGAAAGGATGTATTTTTTGAAAGTCATGAAGAAGACAATAGTTTTCTCTCATTGTTGGTTTTTCAGGGTAACTATTTTTTCACCATTTTACTCTGTTCTCCATAATAGCAAGAAATAGAATTGATCAAATTCCATACTTTAACCTAGATATATGTATTCAGGCTGTCCAATGTACCATAAGCCAACTGAGGAATATATAACAAAATAGTGTTAAAATGGGAAAATTAATAATACTATCAGCTCTTCCTTGTGAGTGTAATTAAACAGTTTTTAATTCAGGAGCAATCTTCCAGTATTTCTAAAGTATTGTTGTCGGATATGGGATTTACTTCAATGCTGTTTTGAACAATTAGAGATATGTGGACAAAAAAATTGAATAACTGAATCTTTGTATTAACTGGAACATCATAGCAGTAACCAGCTCAAACTGCTTTCTCAATTCTGTTATCTATTTACTTTGCCTAGTATTTCCGTTTAACAACTTCCTAAAAATTGAAAACATCAGGCCTCATATGATATTAACCATGTATGAATATTAGCCATTCGAAAACAATGGCACTTTATGCTGGACATGAAGAGGTGAATATAGTCAGGTTAATTTTATATTGTTGCAAAGGTTAGCAATATATAGCCTTTTTGGCAATCTTGCTTGATGTAATTCATAATGAAAATTGATATTGTAAGGTACTGAAATAGAAGACTGTACTATATTGCCAAACATTTGACAGGTATTCTTAGATATTGATATAGAAGTGTGTAGCACCAACTTTCTGACAAAATATTGTTAGATATAAAAGTGTAGCGCCAACTTTCTGACAAAATATTGTTAGATATAGAAAGGTAGCGCCAACTTTCTGACAAAATATTGTTAGATATAGAAGTGTTGTGCCAACTTTCTGACAAAATATTGTTAGATATAGAAGTGTTGCGCCAACTTCCTGACAAAATATTGTTAGATATAGAAAGGTAGCGCCAACTTTCTGACAGAATATTGTTAGATATAGAAGTGTAGCGCCAACTTTCTGACAAAATATTGTTAGTTAGTGTAGCGCCAACTTTCTGACAAAATATTGTTAGATATAGAAGTGTTGCGCCAACTTCCTGACAAAATATTGTTAGATATAGAAAGGTAGTGTCAACTTTCTGACAAAATATTGTTAGTTAGTGTAGCGCCAACTTTCTGACAAAATATTGATAGGTATAGAAGTGTTGCGCCAACTTCCTGACAAAATATTGTTAGATATAGAAAGGTAGGGCCAACTTTCTGACAAAATATTGTTAGATATAGAAGTGAAGCGCCAACTTTCTGACAAAATATTGTTAGATATAGAAGTGTTGTGCCAACTTTCTGACAAAATATTGTTAGATATAGAAGTGTTGTGCCAACTTTCTGACAAAATATTGTTAGATATAGAAGTGTAGTGCCAACTTCCTGACAAAATATTGTTAGATATAGAAGTGTTGTGCCAACTTTCTGACAAAATATTGTTAGATATAGAAGTGTTGCGCCAACTTCCTGACAAAATATTGTTAGATATAGAAAGGTAGCGCCAACTTTCTGACAGAATATTGTTAGATATAGAAGTGTAGCGCCAACTTTCTGACAAAATATTGTTAGTTAGTGTTGCACCAACTTTCTGACAAAATATTGTTAGATATAGAAAGGTAGTGCCAACTTTCTGACAAAATATTGTTAGTTAGTGTAGCGCCAACTTTCTGACAAAATATTGTTAGATATAGAAGTGTTGCGCCAACTTCCTGACAAAATATTGTTAGATATAGAAAGGTAGGGCCAACTTTCTGACAAAATATTGTTAGATATAGAAAGGTAGGGCCAACTTTCTGACAAAATATTGTTAGATATAGAAGTGAAGCGCCAACTTTCTGACAAAATATTGTTAGATATAGAAGTGTTGTGCCAACTTTCTGACAAAATATTGTTAGATATAGAAGTGTTGTGCCAACTTTCTGACAAAATATTGTTAGATATAGAAGTGTAGTGCCAACTTCCTGACAAAATATTGTTAGATATAGAAGTGTTGTGCCAACTTTCTGACAAAATATTGTTAGATATAGAAGTGTTGCGCCAACTTCCTGACAAAATATTGTTAGATATAGAAAGGTAGCGCCAACTTTCTGACAGAATATTGTTAGATATAGAAGTGTAGCGCCAACTTTCTGACAAAATATTGTTAGTTAGTGTAGCGCCAACTTTCTGACAAAATATTGTTAGATATAGAAGTGTTGCACCAACTTTCTGACAAAATATTGTTAGATATAGAAAGGTAGTGCCAACTTTCTGACAAAATATTGTTAGTTAGTGTAGCGCCAACTTTCTGACAAAATATTGTTAGATATAGAAGTGTTGCGCCAACTTCCTGACAAAATATTGTTAGATATAGAAAGGTAGCGCCAACTTTCTGACAGAATATTGTTAGATATAGAAGTGTAGCGCCAACTTTCTGACAAAATATTGTTAGTTAGTGTAGCGCCAACTTTCTGACAAAATATTGTTAGATATAGAAGTGTTGCACCAACTTTCTGACAAAATATTGTTAGATATAGAAAGGTAGTGCCAACTTTCTGACAAAATATTGTTAGTTAGTGTAGCGCCAACTTTCTGACAAAATATTGTTAGATATAGAAGTGTTGCGCCAACTTCCTGACAAAATATTGTTAGATATAGAAAGGTAGGGCCAACTTTCTGACAAAATATTGTTAGATATAGAAGTGAAGCGCCAACTTTCTGACAAAATATTGTTAGATATAGAAGTGTGTAGTGCAAACTTTCTGACAAAATATTGTTAGATATAGAAGTGTTGCGCCAACTTTCTGACAAAATATTGTTAGATATAGAAGTGTTGCGCCAACTTCCTGACAAAATATTGTTAGATATAGAAGTGTAGTGCCAACTTCCTGACAAAATATTGTTAGTTAGTGTAGCGCCAACTTTCTGACAAAATATTGTTAGATATAGAAGTGTTGCGCCAACTTCCTGACAAAATATTGTTAGATATAGAAGTGTAGTGCCAACTTCCTGACAAAATATTGTTAGATATAGAAGTGTGTAGTGCAAACTTCCTGACAAAATATTGTAAGATATAAAAGTGTTGCGCCAACTTCCTGACAAAATATTGTTAGATATAGAAGTGTGTAGTGCAAACTTCCTGACAAAATATTGTAAGATATAAAAGTGTTGCGCCAACTTCCTGACAAAATATTGTTAGATATAGAAGTGTGTAGTGCAAACTTCCTGACAAAATATTGTAAGATATAAAAGTGTTGCGCCAACTTCCTGACAAAATATTGTTAGATATAGAAGTGTGTAGTGCAAACTTCCTGACAAAATATTGTAAGATATAAAAGTGTTGCGCCAACTTCCTGACAAAATATTGTTAGATATAGAAGTGTGTTGTGCAAACTTCCTGACAAAATATTGTAAGATATAAAAGTGTTGCGCCAACTTCCTGACAAAATATTGTTAGATATAGAAGTGTGTAGTGCAAACTTCCTGACAAAATATTGTAAGATATAAAAGTGTTGCGCCAACTACCTGACAAAATATTGTTAGATATAGAAGTGTAGTGCCAACTTCCTGACAAAATATTGTTAGATATAGAAGTGTTGCGCCAACTTCCTGACAAAATATTGTAAGATATAGAAGTGTAGCGCCAACTTTCTGACAAAATATTGTTAGATATAGAAGTGTAGTGCCAACTTTCTGACAAAATATCAGTTGATATTGAAATAGAAAATTGAAGTGCAGTAGCAACACACCTGAAAAAATTCACTAGATATCAGAGTAGCAGAAAGTTCCTGTGTAGATTTGCACCTACCCATTGACAAAATATCGTTAGATATTAAATTATAGAAATAGACCACAAAAATAATGAGGAAACATGCTTAACCACTACTTAGGGTACTTAATCCTCCCTGATGTTGTGTATGTATTATGAAAGATAGGGATCCTATACCAACAGTATTGAATGTGTTATTTATTTTCATTATGACAGGTTTAATTAAAATGTACGTTATTATTAGAGGATTGGATATTCTGCAGAATTCTTGCTGTTCTGTTTCCGTTGCTCAACAAATTGTGATAAAAGACTTCTGATAGGGTTTACATTTCCGTTAGAATATGACTACGGATAGGGCTTAAGTTTCTGTTCGAATATGGAATAGAAGTACTTTTGATGGGACATATGTTTCTGGTGGAATGTAATGTTTAAATACTAAATAAGGAAATACTGTATTTCAACAAATATTGGTGGTGATTTATTTTCTTGATGTTTAGATATCAGTCACAAAAATAGATCATCACAAATATATTATTTTGTGAAACAATAATCAAAATACTTTTTTAGTGTCACAATGAAAAATTCTTTGAGAGAGTAAAATGTTTT